GAACAGAAAGTTTTGACCTTGCAACCTGTAAGAAAGAATCTGTCCGCATGACTGTTTACAAGCTATAGAAACACATAAGACTCTGTCCCCTGAGCTCCCGCAAGGGCCGGGGATGCCCCACCTGGGGTGACTGCACTGTAGCTGCAAGGCCTGGTCTTGCACCACATGTGATCTTTTGGCCCCGCGAGAGGTGCTCATCATCATTGCCCGTTTTCTGCTGTTTCCCATGGGTCAGCTACCTCACAGCGGGGCAGGCTCTGCTGTTCTGGCAAGCGTCATTGACTCTAAACTTGAAGTCCTTCGGGAGACCTGAGCCCGACGTCCCTGAGACATCCCGAGTTGTGCTCCGTGAGAGTTGGCGTCTGCCCACTCAGGGATGTCCCAGGTCCATAGTTAGGGGCAGGCCCCCAGCTCCACTCACTGCACAAGCTCCCTAAGTGTTGGAAGCACAAAATGGTCGTGACTGAGCACAATGGCAGGGTCCCGCAGGCACACTCGGCAGATCCAGCTCGGGAGGCTCCTCCCAGCTTGGCTCTGTCCAAAGTGAGGTTGGGGACGGCCATGTCTGGGACAGGGGTCTGTCCTTGCTCAGTCCAGGCCTTGGCTCATGGCTCATCCTAATTCTGGGATTTCTAATCTTACTTCATGCCCTTCTGTGCCCATCTAAGACTTGAGGCTGAGCCCCGTCAGGCCCAGCCACATCTTTACGCCATGGGAGCAGGAGTAAAGTCCTCTCTAAACCTCACCCCCCTCAAACCTCTAACTGCCTGAGTTCAGGCTGAGTCCTAGCCCTAGTGAGCCTAAAGACCTTGGACTCAGATTCCCTGTCTCCTGGGTCAAGCCTCGCTCCGTGCTTGTGAAGCTTCTGAGTGTATTCCCCGGATAGAAGGAGTCTTCGTCCCCTCTGCCTTCGGGCCTCTTCAGCACAGTCCTGTGCCAGGGCCCTGTCCTCACCATCAGCCACATCAGTATTTGCTTTCCTGTGAGTGACTAACTCCTCTGAGGCAGCCGGAACTCTCAAAGGCAGCGCCTGGAGTTGCCTTGCAAGATTTCCAAGGAAGGCGGAAAGGCTGACGGGAGAAGGCTGGCACACCCGAGCCTTTGAGGTGGTCAGCCCCTTGGGAAGGGACAGCTGTGGGTCCGGGAGTGGCCTCATTCCAGATGCAGCCTAGGAAACCCTTCACCCTCAGCTGTCCAGCCCTGCTGCCAGTCCAGGCTGTGTGGCCTGGGCAGAGGGCAGTTTAAAGCACAAAACCGCATGGGGGAAAGGTGAGGTCACTGGGACTTTCTCCTGTGCCTGATGTGATGGAGACAGGCAGGCAGCCGCAGTGAAGTTAAGGAACCTCACGCTGCTTTGCCCTGCCAGCTCTCTGCATCCCCGATGTCCAGGCTGGGAGTGGGCATAGCCCCTGGTTGTTGCTTGTGCCCGGTCTGTTCGCCATTGTGTGTGTGTGTGTTGGGGGGCAGAGGCCACCCTGCAGGAGCAGTGCGTTTCTCCTCACAGGCTGACCCAGACCTGTGGGGTGTGTCGCTTTGCCATCCCAAACAGGCAGCTGTGCTGCTCTCCTCCCTTGGCATAGCCTCCTGGTCATCGGCCGCTGCCCTGCAGGCCTTCCTGTGCCTGACCCTCCTCTCCCAACTCCCAGATCCTTCCCTGCCCTCGTGTGCGAGAGAGATTGTGCAGGAAAGTTCTGCTTCTTCTTTGACATCTTCGTTCTGCCCCCTGCCCCATCCCCAGCACTCATGATCTTGAAGCCCCCACCACACCCTAGCTGAGTCCTGTGAATCATGTCCTGAGGGCCTTGCAGAGAAGTAGGAAGTAGAAACTGCTCCACAAAGAGCCGAGAACACCCCTGAGATCGGGGCCCTGCCCTGCCACCAGCTCTTCTGATAATTGCGCCCTGCTCAGGCTGCAGGGTTTCATCCGGCTCTTGCCATCCCCCGAGATATGGCTGGCACAAGGTGTATATATGTTTTGTACCTCTGCCGATGGCTGTACATAGTGTATGAAAGTTATTTAAGCTTCATGTTGTACATTTCTGTTCCTAGATTGGATGTGAGTGTTCTAAATTGTCATAAATAAAACCTGAATGACCAATGTCTGTGGAGCCCCCTCTGAGGGGCTGCTGACTTTTGGCTGGGGCCTCCGGAGAGGCAGTGGGTTGCGGGGTGGCGGGGTGAGCGGGTGAGTGGGTATACAGCAGGCCTCTGGGGCTGGGCCTAGCCTGATGAGAACTTTCTGAGCTGTAGTTTGGGGCTTCAGCAGTTAGGAAGCAGAGAGCTTTGAGAGCATCACATTCTCCTCCAGTCTCCTGATACTGCCTCCGGGGGCTGGTGCAGCAGCCAGGAGAGTAGGCAGCAGCATTTCTGGCCCACCTACTATATTCTAGGCTCTGTTCAGAGCGGTTTTCATCGTGTCTTCACTGCCCTGTGTGACAGGTAACAGTCTCATTTTATGAAATGAGAAAAGTCTCAGGATGGACGTGATTTACCCATGATCACAGCTAGTAAGGAGAGAGCCAGGTTCTGCATCCAGAGCTGCCTCACAGCAGCCTTTGCCTTTGACTAATGCAACACATGCCTCCCTAGGGCCTGCGCTGCGCTGTGGTGCACGCAGACACGTCTCAGTCCCCTGCCACTTATGGAAAGAAGGCAAGACTATAAAAAGATCATAGGAGAAAACAGCTCCACAAAGGTCATTATTATTATTTGTTTAATAGAGATGGGATCTCACTATGTTGCCCACGCTGGTCTCTTAACTCCTGGGCTCAAGCCCTCCTCCCATCTCAGCTTCCCAAAGTGCTGGGATTACAAGAGTGAGCCACCATGCCTGGCCAGGATTTTTTTTCTAGATCAGTGCTTTTCAGTCTTTAAGAACCCATATTCCCTTTTGGTTTTTTGTGGGGTTTTTTTGTTTTGTTTTGTTTTGAGATGGAGTTTTGCTCTTGTTACCCAGGCTGGAGTGCAATGGTGCGATCTCGGCTCACCGCAACCTCCGCCTCCTGGGTTCAGGGAATTCTCCTGCCTCAGCCTCCTGAGTAGCTGGGACTACAGGCATGTGTACCACCATGCCCAGCTAATTTTTTGTATTTTTAGTAGAGACAGGGTTTCACCATGTTGACCAGGATGGTCTCGATATCTTGACCTCGTGATCCACCCGCCTCGGCCTCCCAAAGTGCTGGGATTATAGGTGTGAGCCACTGCACCCAGCCCCATATTCCCTTTTGATAACCATGAATTGTTTCACCAACTCCTGGAGATTCCAGCCCATCCCCTTGGCAGAGAGGCAGAGAGCCCGTGACTGATTAAAAAGCTTAACTTCTGGCCAGGCACGTGGCTCACACCTGTAATCCTATCACTCTGGGAGGCTGAGGCAGGTGGATCACGAGGTCAGGAAATCGAGACCATCCTGGCTAACACGGTGAAACCTCGTCTCTACAAAAAAATACAAAAAATTCGCCAGGTGTGATGGCATGCACCTGTAGTCCCAGCTACTCAGGAGGCTGAGACCAGAGAATCACTTGAACCCGGGAGACAGAGGTTGCAGTGAGCTGAGGTTGTACCACTGCACTCCAACCTGGGCAACAGAACAATACTCTGTCTACAAAAAAAAAACAACTTAACTTCTGATTTTTGTGTCAGAAATACAATAGGGTCTCTCTTTGCTTTGTTACCCAAATATAAAACCAAATTGCTTCCTTCTTCAGCCTGCACAAGTCCCCCACTGCGTGTCCAGACTTATGGCTGGGACGAGTGCTCTGGCCAGGGAATTCCTCGAGTCCGTAGGAGACAGAGGTCACCGTGGGTGGAAGGTTGAGGGCTTCCTGGGGAAGGTTTCCTCCAGAGAGGCTTCCAGTCCTCAAACAGAAGGGCCTTGGCGAGTGAGAGAGGGACCCGGAGCCATCGAGGGAGACACAAGTGGGCAGAGTTGCCCTGATTTGCCAGCCCTGCTGGTGGGCACAGAGCTGCCTGCCCCGGAAGCAGAGTGGCTTCTTGCGGATAGCTGTTTTGGCTGGCTGACCTGGCATTACCCGTGCCACTCCCCGCCCCACCCTCAATCCCCACAGGCCCATATTTTACATGGGATGCTGCCTGACAGTGGGACAGAGTCTACTGTGAACTGCAGGGAGTGACACCTGGCCACAGCCAGCTGCAGGCTGGGCAGGGTGTGTGGGAGAGAACCAGAGACTGGCCGCTGGGGAACTGGTCAGGGGCCGGCCCTGGAGTGGACTCCAGCCAGCTGGTTCCTCCCTGCCACTGCGCTCCTCCCCATAACCCCTAAGAAGTTTCACAGCACAAGGTAATTTTTCCAAATGCAGGTCACCCTGTCTCTCGAGGATGCCAAGGCTTTTGCAGGGTGCAGTGGGGGACAGGAACAGAGGATTAAGAGATTCTTCTTTTAATGTGGGGTGTTGTTTTGTTTACAGATTACATGCATAATATCTGCTTACTTTAGAAAATTTGGAAAACAAGAAATTGCCAAGAAAAATCCCATTTAGGATATAAGGTATGGGGCAGCTTTCCCAGGCACAATCGAACAGCACCTCTCAGAATGTGGTAAGAGCCATTCATTGTCAGAACTAGGTGGCATCTTAAAAGGTGATTTTTCCTCAGCCACTGAAGTTGAGTTTTTTTTTCTTTTTCTTTTTTTGAAACAGAGTCTCACTGTGTCACCAGGCTGGAGGGCAGTGGTGCCATGTCGGCTCACTGAAACCTCCACCTCCTGGGTTCAAGCGATTCTCCTGCCTCAGCTTCCTGAGTAGCTTGGACTACAGGAGTGCACCACCTGCACCCAGCTAATTTTTGTATTTTTAGTAGAGACAGGGTTTCACCTTGTTGGTCAGGCTGGTCTCAAACTCCTGACCTTGTGATCCTCCCACCTGGGCCTCCCAAAGTGCTGGGATTACAGGCGTGAGCCACTGCACCCAGTGCAGTTGAGTTTTAAAAAACAAAGATAATGTTTTCCAACTCTCTCAGTTTACACATTTGCATTTTACAGAATGAAGGCCCAGAGAGGCCAACAGAGTTGGCCAAAGTCATCCTGGGACAGAGATGGCCCTAGAATCCACTACTTTCCATGCATTCATTACCTCATATTTTTTACGTTATACTAGACCAAAGTGAGGGGGTGGCTTGTAGGGGTGTCAGAACAGTCTATGAGGTGGGCTTCACCCCAATGCACTTGACCTGTTAATAGGTTTTGAATAAGAGCTACCTTTTTTTTTTTTGAGATGGAGTTTTGCTCTTGTTACCCAGGCTGGAGTGAAATGGTGCGATCTCGGCTCACCGCAACCTCCGTCTCCTGGGTTCAGGCAATTCTCCTGCCTCAGCCTCCTGAGTAGCTGGGATTACAGGCATGCGCCACCATGCCCAGCTAATTTTTTGTATTTTTAGTAGAGACTGGGTTTCATCATGTTGACCAGGATGGTCTCGATCTCTTGACCTCGTGATCCACCTGCCTCAGCCTCCCAAAGTGCTGGGATTACAGGCATGAGCCACCACGCCCGGCCAAGAGCTACCTTTTATCATTGCTTGTAACAAAGCAAAACTGCCCTGGCAGAGGTGGGGCACTGCAGGGCAAGCATCCGGGCCTGAGTATGGACATCTGAGGTGTGGTTTGGGCTGTGCCAGGGCCACCCATGGTGGTTTTCTATAGAGCAGCGCTGTCCCTGGCTCTGTGGTACCCAAACTCTGATTTTCCGGGATGTTTTGTGAGCTCACTGACAACGCTTTAACAAATCACTTTCCTGCTTCAACCAACCAGAGTGCACTCTTGCTTAATCTCACAACTGCATTCTAGAACACCTCATGCATGCCAACATTACTTTCCCCATGGCTCATTGTTGAAGTTGGTTCAAAAGAAACTGCTTGCTCTGTCCGCAGACCATGTGTCTGAATGGGAGAAGGGAACAGAGAGGCATAGCAGGAAAGGTCAGCCCGGACCCAGATGTTTGTTGGAGGGAAGGTGGCTCACAAGTGGCTCTACCCCAGAAGGCCAAGAATTGACTGGAAAGACAGCATGATAGCTATTTTCACAAAGTTGCATGCTTTTTCCTTTTATGATGAAGATTCTGCAGGGATACATCTCCATTTCTAGTATAGGACCCAGGAATCTGGCCCCATTGTCACAGGGTCTAATGGCCAGGCCTACATCTGAGACCCAAGAATGCAGGCTCAGAAGTAGCGCCTTTGGGGTCTCCTCCTGGAGAAGCAGGATGGGGGTTGCTTAGCCAGTAGCAGCTTCTTGGCGTCCAGGATATAGAAAGTCTGCGTGGCGAGGCAGCTGACCGTGGGGTCAGAGTCTCTCTGCATGTGTCTTAGGGCTGCAACAAAGACATAGAAAGGCTAGTGGGCTGGGCAGGAGGGTCTAGGCCTTGCGTTGCAGAGAGGTACCAGGCCATGGGGTCAGGACTGGCGGATTTGAAACTATGAACAGGAGTTTCTTCTGGGAGTCCACAGTCTCCGTCACAAGCAAGACTACATAGCCACCATGTGCACAGGGAGATGCGAGGCCCACGTGCTCCTCACCCTGCACCCATTGCCAACCCCCACTCCTCTCTGCACAGGGAGATGCGAGGCCCACGTGCTCCTCACCCTGCACCCATTGCCAACCCCACTCCTCTCTGCACAGGGCGATGCGAGGCCCACGTGCTCCTCACCCTGCACCCATTGCCAACCCCCACTCCTCTCTGCACAGGGAGATGCAAGGCCCACGTGCTCCTCACCCTGCACCCATTGCCATCCCCTCACTCCTCTCTACTGGCCCTCCCTGGACCTGTGTCCCCTCTTCCCCATAAAATAGCTGTGCATGAAGTCCTCTGCAGCCAGGGGCTCAACCACACATGGGGGCTCAATGCTGTCTCTCCCACGAGAAGCCCAAGGGAGGCTCCTGGTTGCTGGATGGTCTCTGTGGTGGCGAGGGTGTGAGTGAACATGGGGCAGGGGGCTCTGACCAGCACCTCAAAACTGAAGCGCCTTGAGATGAGTCCACCTCTTCACTCTTCTGGATAATCATTTTTGTGAGGCCATCTGCCCATTGTTCCTAACTTTTGAGCATTCCTCCCCAACACTGGTGCTGCCAAAAGACGCAAGGAGGAGGAGAGCGGGCTGCCACTCACCCGTGTGCGCCTCGTCAGTGTCATCCATCTCTTCCAAGTCAAGGGTTTGGAGAATCTGTCCTACAGGGGCACACAGAGGCACCTCAGAGCCCCCACAAAGAATCACTGGGGCCCTGGCTGCAGGTGCTCTTGTCCCCTTTCCCAAAACACTCACCATGCTCTCCTTTTTCTTGTCTTCCCCTCCCTTGGCCACCAGCCTCAGGTTTGAACTTTTCCCATGAAGTTGAACTTGTGTTCCCTTGATTCTCTGAAGGATTCTCAGCAAATTGGGCTGGGTGAAGGAGTGGACACACCTCTCCCCAAAGAGCTCTTGCCTGGGGTGATCTGAGGCAGTCCCCCACCTACCTCTGAACTGCCCCGACTCAGTAGCTCCCAGACCACAATGCCGCACCCTTTGGCTATCTGCTGACTACAGGGGAGGGAGCAGGAGGCAGAGGTAGGCACTCCCACCTCCACTCTTACCCCCCAACGAAATCCCCATGGGTTCTGTCTCTCCTCATGTCTTGGGTGCTCAGTCTGCTTAAGGGACCCTACAACGAGGACAAAGTGGCTCCCAGAAGGCCAAAGGCCATACCTGCAAACCACACAGCTGCCCAGCGGACGGGAACCTGGGGGCTGCTGAAACACGCCACACACTGCTTCAGAAACCAGAGGGCTTTGTTCGTCTCCTGCTCCAGCTGTAACAAGAGGGGTCAGATTATGGAAAGGACCCTCAGACAGTTTTCAGATTACACTGGAGCCATCTCCTGAGTGCAAAAATCCATCAAAACCTTCTCCATCTCCATCCCCTCCTACCCCAGCTCCTGAAATCTTCTTTCTTTTGTGAAGCCTTCCTGGACTGCCCATGCTGCAGGGATCACACTCTGTGGCCTTGACTCAGTTTGAGCATGAAACTCATAGACTGGCCCCAGTGTTTGGCTCATACATTTTTTTCTCTCCTACTCCCAATAATAGAAGAGTGAGGCCGGGAGTAGTGGCTCACGCCTGTAATCCAAGCACTTTGGAGGCCAAGGCGGGCAGATCACCTGAGGTCGGGAGCTCAAGACCAGCCTGACCAACAGGGTGAAACCCCGTCTTTTTTAAAAAAAAAAAAAAAAAAAAAAGAGTGAAGCCTATTGTTTAAATCCCATTTATTTCTATCTTATCTTAAACCTTCAACCTCATATGCTTGAGGTTGCAGAAGATCATGCCTACAGAATTCTGTTTAAGCAGAGCCTTAGTCACATGAATGCGAAGATGGGAACAATCTCAGTGTTCCAAAAAAGAGGAGGGGGGAGGGAGGGAGTGGGGCAAGGGTTGAAGAACTATCTATGGACTATGTTCACTCCTTGGGGATGGAAATGTTAGAAGCACAAACCTCATCATCACACAGTACACCCACGGAACAAACCCGCACCCATACCCCCGAATCTAAAATTTTTAAAAGAGGCCAGGCACAGTGGCTCACGCCTGTAATCCCAGCACTTTCAGAAGCCAAAGCAGGAGGATCTCCTGAGCTTGGGAGTTCAAGACCAGTCTGGGCAACACAGTGAAACCCTATGTCTACTAAAATAAAGAAGTTAGCTGGGCGTAGTGGCACGTGCCTATACACTTAGTTACTCAGGAAGCTGAGGCAGGAGAATCGCTTGAACTCAGGAGGCAGAGGTTGCAGTGAGCTGACGTGGCACCGCTGCACTCCAGCCTGAGGGACAGAGCCAGACCCTGTCTCCAAAGAAATAAATAAATACATAAAATAAAATAAAATACTTAAAATAAATAAATAAAAATAAACAGAGCCTAGCAGTGCTGCCTGTAATTCCGTGTTTTCATACCTCCCATCACCTGCCTAGGAATGCAGCCCCTTCTGCATTCATCAGACTTCCACCCTTGAAGGTTAAAGGATGATGTGACCTTCCCTTTGCAACAACCACTAACCCAAGCCCGGTCTCCTGCATCTCCTTCCTAGCTCCGATCCTAACCCTCCTTTTTCCCTCTGCAGTCGATTCTTAAAACAGAAGGCTACATCCATGGTTTGCCCCAACTTCTTTTGTCAGGATCTTTTCTTCAAGTAGAAATCTTAACTGGAAACCCAATATCCCGAACCTGTAAACCCAGCACTTTGGAAAGCCAAGGTGGGAGGATCACTTGAGCTCTGGAGTTACGGACTAGCCCTGGCAACATGGCAAGACCCTGAGAAGAAAGAAGAAAGAAGAAGAAGGAGGAAGAGGAAGAGGAGGAAGAGAAGGAGGAGGAGAAGAAAAAAGAAGAAGAGGAATCAGAAGTGGCAGAAAAAGAAGGAGGAGGAGGAAAAGGAAGGAGTAGGGGAGAAGGAGAAGAAGAAACAGAAGGAGGGGTAGTGGAGAAGAATAAGGAGGAGGAGGAGGAGAAGGACAAGGAGGAGGAAGAAGAGGAGGAGGAGAAGGGGGAAAGAAGAAAAAGGGGGAGGCAGAGGGGAGGGGGAGAAGGAGGATGAAGATGTGGAGGAGGAAGAAGAAAGGGAGGGAGGGAGGGAGGGAGGAATGGATGGAAGGAGGGATGGAGGGGGAGGGGGAGGGGGAGGGGATCTCTTGAACCTGGGAGGTGGAGGTTTCAGTGAGCTGAGATCACCCCACTGCACTCCAGCCTGGGCTTCAGATCAAGACCATCCTGGCCAACATGGTGAAACCCTGTCTCTCCTAAAAATACAAAAATCAGCCAGACATGGTGGCATGCACCTGTAGTCCCAGCTACTCGAGAGGCTGAGGCAGGAGAATGGCTTGAACCCGGGAGGCAGAGGTTGCAGTGAGCTGAGATCGAGCCACTACAGTCCAGCCTGGGTGACAAGAAGGAGGAGAAGGAGGAGGAAGAGAAGGAAAATGAGAAGAAGAAGAGGAAGAGGAAAAACGAAGAAGGGCTCTGCTGGGGTTGAAGGAAGTGGGAAGGCTGCGCCTAGTCTGCCAGCCTTCTCTCCAGTCTTTTGAAGTTACCCGAGAAACCCTCGGGGGTTTTTGCGCCCTTGATTGCTTCCTGAAACTGGCCTTGGTCCTTCCTAGGTGACCACGGCCCTCCTCTCTTGTTGCCCTCCTTTGACTTTCTGCCAGATTTCCTTTCCTCGTCTTCTCTGTGGGATCCTTGGAACTGATGTCTCCTGGGATCTCAATGTTGACTCCTCTGCTGCTCCCACCACAGTGTCCTTAGGAGGGCTCACCTGCACTCAGAGCTGCAATGTCCATCTACCACCCAGCAGGCAACAGCCCTGTCCTCCAAGGTTCAATGATACCTATCTACCTTCCAACGGAATAGGTCCACTTAGTGTTCTCACTGATTTTACAAGGTCTCCATGCACAAAACCACGCCACCACCCTCCCCTCCACACCTGTTCCTCCCTCTGTATTTCTGACCTCTGTCTGGAACACCAGCGTGTATCCACGTCAGAAGCCAGAAGGCAACTTGTACTTCCACAATTCACATCGTATCAATCTCCACAACTAGCTAGTCCTGCCGGTGTCTTTGTCTTCCTGACTCCATCTCTCCCCAGACACTCTCAGCACAGACTCCAATTCCCTCCCTTGGGGACATTTCTCTGATTTGTAGCTTCTATGATTTGTGTGAAATGCACATATCTCTGGCCATACTATCTGCTTGCTCAAAATGCTTCAACTTCCCTTGCGTACAGCTGCAAGTCCCAGTCCTCACTGGGCCCAAACCTCCACAGCACAGTGTGGCCCAGCCTCCTGCCTCCTGCTTGGTGTCTGCTGCCTGGACTGCACACTGGCAGTCTATGAGCAAAACAGCCTGAAGATATTTTTTTTTATTTGATCTACGTAATAGTTTACATTTTAAATTATTTGCAAACATTAGTGTAGGAAATTTCACCCCAAATCAGGATTTCCTGCTTCTTTTTTTAAAATTAAAAATTAATTTTTGAGACAGACTTTTGCTCTGTCATCCAGGCTGGAGTGCAGTGACATAATCTCGGCTCTCTGCAACCTCCACCTCCCGGGTTCAAGCAATTCTTCTGCCTCAGCCTCCTGAGTAGCTGGGATTACAGGTGCCTACCACCTCGCCTGGCTAATTTTTGTATTTTTAGTAGAGATGGGATTTCCCCATATTGGCCAGGCTGGTTTCAAACTCCTGGCCTCAAGTGACCTGCCAACCTTGGCCTCCCAAAGTGCTGGGATTACAGGTGTGAGCCATAGCACCTGGCATGGATTTCCTGCTTCTCTTAACCCTGAGCCACTTTCTCTCCTAGAAACAATTGGTGAGTTCTCAACTAGGGACTGCACTATGTGGAGGGAATTATGAAACTGGGAGATGTTTATGGTTTTCAAAATGATGATGTGGTACACCAGTTTCTAAAATCCCATTACACATTTATGTCTATCAAAACCCTACTTATAATAATCCATGCCTAGAACTTGGCTTTTTTAGACAACAGAGTACTTTTTTTTTTTTTTTTTTTTTTTTTGACACAGAATCCGGCTCTGTCACCCAGGCTGGAGTGCAGTGGTGCAATTTTGGCTGACTGCAACCTCCACCTCACAGGTTCAAGTGATTTTCCTGCCTCAGCCTCCTGAGTAGCTAGTACTACAGGCACATGCCACCATGCCCAGCTAATTTTTGTATTTTTAGTAGAACCAGGGTTTCACCAAGTTGGCCAGGATGGTCTTGATCTCTTGACCTCATGATCTGCCTGCCTCAGCCTCCCAAAGTGCTGTGATTATAGGCATGAGCCACTGCACCCGGCCAATGGAGTATTTTTTCACAGTTCAACTATATACTGAATTTTTCTAGGAATGCATCTGCAATAGACATCAAAGACTATACTGCATCTTGTTCAGAAAGTCACAAAATGATTCTTCATTTTGGAAGTCCCATCACCACCGGCAGCCCTTCTTGTGGTATTTGAGTCTCCAACACAATGCCCCTATGTCATTCTGCATTTGTAGCAGATTCATTCACAGTGATATTCTGAAGAGGGGCAAGGATTCATGTACATCATTGTCTTCTTAAGTAACTAGGCCCTCGCAGGGCGCAGTGGCTTATGCCTATAATCCCAGAACTTTGGGATGCTGAGGCAGCTGCATCATCTGAGGTCAGGAGTTCGAGACCAGCCTGGCCAATATGAGGAAACCCCGTCTCCACTAAAAATACAAAAATTAGCCAGGCCTGATGGCAAGCGTCTGTAATCCCAGCTACTTAGGAGTCTGAGACAGGAGAATCGCTTGAACCCGGGAGGAGGTGGAGGTTGCAGTGAGCCAAGATCGCGTCACTGCACTCTAGCCTGGGCTTCAAGACTCAGTCTTGAAAAGAAAAACAAACACAAAATAAAGTAACTGGGCCCAAGCATTCACATATAGTATTTATGCCCTATTATTATGTTGTGTTTTGCTGCATTGTGTTCCATACATTCATGCAGATTATTTTGTTATAGATTACTTTCATTTTTCCTTTGGAGTTAGGGCATTATATTACTTATTTTGGAAATACTCAAAGGTAGAGGATATTATTTATGCATTTCCCTTTAGGAGAGTAAAGGCGGTGCTGCTGAATGTGTGCTGTGACGGCGGTGTGTGGTGTCTGGTCATGCTGAGAAGGCTCCTTGCGCTGGGCCTCAGGGCCTAACGTTCTCTTCCGGGCCACCCAGTCTGATCTCTGGTTGCTGTTTCCAGGCCTTTGCTTTTTTTTTTTTTTTTTTTTTTTTTTTTTTTCTGAGACGGAGTCTTACTCTGTCACCCAGGCTGGAGTGCAGTGGCACAATCTTGATTCACTGCAACCTCTGTCTCCCAGGTTTAAGCAATTCTCTGCCTCAGCCTCCTGAGTAGCTGGGATTACAGGCGCCTGCCACCACGACCGGCTAATTTTTGTATTTTTAGTAGAGATGGGGTTTCACCATGTTGGCTAGGCTGGTCTCGAACTCCTGACCTCATGATTCACCTGCCTTGGCCTCCCAAAGTGCTGAGATTACAGGCATAAGCCACCGCACCCAGCCAGCATTTGCCTTTTCTGCCCTGCTCTAATGATTCCAAGGCACTTACATTAATAGCTCCCCACACACCAGGCCCTTCTGCCCTTATTTCTCAGGACGGTTGTGAGGATCAAATCATACCAGATAATGTGTGCAAAGTCCCTGGAATAGAGTGAGTGCTTTGCTCCACACCCCTGGGCACAGCATCACCTCGGCCTGCATTCTTAATTCCTTCCCTTTACCTAAGTGTTACCCTGCCTTCCATTTCTCCTTCTGAAGATGACACCTCTTCCAGGAAGCCTTCCTTCGACTCCCAGACTGTGCTGGGTACCACTCCTGTGCCCTGCCCAAGGTATGTTGAGATTCTCTGCTTGAGTGCCTGGCTCCCCAATTCAGACAGAAAGCAAGGCAGGGGCAGGAACCATATCTAGGTGCCAAGCACAAAGTAGATGCTTAATGAGTATCTCATCGTTGCCCTGTTGCTGCTGCCACTGCCACTACTGCTACAAACCTCAGAGCTGCAGGAAAAGGACCTAGACGGCTGGGGATGCCGCCCTGCCTCGCATAGGGGCAGAAGGTGAGCAAGTTGCTCGCTTACCAGGGCTCCGAGAATGTTCCACACATCTTTCTCTGCAAATACTGCTTTCAGCTTTGACCAGCCCAGCACAGCAGCTGTGTGGCAGAGGGCAGACCGGCAGATCTGGAGGAGAAGGAGGCTCAGCATGAGGAGCTGGGGAGTGGGCCCGGGCAGGGACACGGCGGGTGCAAAGAACAGAGACAAGCAGCATCAAGTTCAGCCTCAGTGGGATGGAAATGCTGGTGAATCTTAGGGAGAAGGCAGGGGTCCGGGCAGCGTGCCTCCACTTACACCCTCCTTTTCCCACTAATGAGAAGTTTAAAAATTACAGTTCTAACATTTTCCCAGTTGCTGTGGTGTGACACTGAGACCCAGAGCACTGGAACTATCCAGCTCAGAGCCTTATTCACTGGCCATATGGCTTCCCACGCCCCCGCCCTTGCCCCCCGCTCCACCCCACAAAACAGTCTCTCTGAAAACAAATTTCCCCAAAGTCTTAATCCCCCAACTGGGTGGTCACTGCTCTAAGTCAGGGCTGGCTCTATGGGGATACCACGGCTGAGTTCACCGGTGGGGCTCTCCCGCACAAAGATAATATCCCCATTCAATCGCTTGCCCAGCCGGCCTCAGATGCGCCTAAGAGGCCTCAGTGACGACAAAGTAGCCTGCTCTGTGGAAACAAGGTGTCCTGTCACAGAGTAAGTCAGCCAGTCTTCAAGTGTTCGAGCTGCAGTTCACGTTCCTGGGGCTCCCGGGCTCAAAGCTGAACTCATTCATTCCGGAAAGAAGGCCAGTTCTAGGCCGTCTCTGTTCTGCCCAACACACTGTCTCCCACGGGGGCTTCCCGGCCCAGCGAGCCCTGTCTCCATTCACAGGCAGAGAGTATGCAAACAGCAGCGTGGAGAGGGGGCCCCTGGAGCCACAGGCAGGGAAGCAGAGAGAGGGACTGAAGCCTGTTGATGAGACTCTCCTCCTGGGAATAACACCAGTGGGAGTCAGTGGCCAATTGGATGGAGCCAGATGCTGGAGAAAACTTCAGTGCAAGCATCTGTCAATCTCTAGTCTCTTACTGAAACTCTGCAGGGTCGGGGACTACTTGACTCCTTCAGCACCATCCAGTCCTGCCACAGCCCTGCCTAAGCACTCGACATGCTTAGCATTTACCTCCCATGAAAACAGGGACTGAAGACCAGACTCCACGGCCTGGACTCTCACCAGAGCCACGTCAGTATTCACGTCCTGCAGGTGGAGCACTAGGGGGACTAGCAAGTTGAGGATCTGATGCTTCAAGGGGAAGACAAGGCTCCTCTTCTTGACCTTGGCCAAGACACTCCCATAGATCTCAAAGGCTGTCAACCGCAGATCCTCTGACACCTGTGTGGGGAAGACACCTCTGAGTCTGTCTTTTCACCCGGCCACCCAGGGTCAGGAGGTCCTGAGCTCCACCCCACCAACCTCACACTCCCGTGTTCATTCCCTCCCCCACATGACCTGCTCTGATCCCCGCCAGCTGTGGTCTGTTTTCTCGCTCCATCTCGCCCATTCAGAAAGATACAAGGAGGGCAGAAGCTACCAGGCCCCTACAGAATGGTGTCATATTCAAGGTGAAGGGCCTTGAATCATTCTGCCAACTCTGTGTGGGTTTTTTTTTTTTTTTTTTGAGACAGGGTCTCAGTCTGTCACCCAGGCTAGAGTGCATGGCATGATCACAGCTCACTGCAGCCTTGACCTCCTGGGCTTAAGGAATCCTCCTGCTTCAGCCTCCCAAGTAGCTGGGGCCACAAGCACCTACCACCACACTCAGCTAATGTGTTGCTGTTATTAGAACAGGGTCTCACTATGTTGCCCAGGCTGGTCTTGAACTCCTGGCCTCACATGAGCCACCTGCCTTGGCCTCCCAAAGTGCTAGGATTATAGGTGTGCACAACCACACCGAGCCAACTTTCTTATTTTACAGATGCCTAAAGAAAATGACCCCAGAGAGGCCTTCACCTCCTCAAAGAAGGGCACCAGCGTGAAGGTGAGCTGGATCAGGAAGGAAGATGAGTGCTGCCAGGTGAGGTGACTCAGGAGATTCCTCAGCACCAGCAGAGTCTCCAGCACGATGTCACTGTTCGAGGAGTAGCAGCAGTTCAGCACATAGGGCTGGAGGATGCGGAGCCATCTGACCTGCGGGTGACAGTGGCTCAGGGAATGAAGAGCTGAGGAAATGACTCCTGCCAAGCCAAGGAATTCTCATTTCAAGTCAATTCAGCCCCTCAAATGAACTCCACATTCTTCTGCTTTTTCATTCTGGAGCTGGGACTGGTCCAGCATCTGGGTAGCACTTGGAATGAGCTGCCCAGGAGGACATTTGGGGAGATACCTTGTGCCCATCATGAGAAAAGGGGAGAAGACAGAGGAGGTCCCCTCCTCCCACTACACCATAAGTTTCCATCTCTGCTGCCTTTCTCATCCCTGATGACAACAGCAATCTCCAAGGGACCTGGATGACATGTACAAGATCCTGGGGTTAGCTTGGCCTGTTCTCTGAAATGACCCATGAGAAAACTTCCTCAGGAGACCTTTCCTGAGAGGGAGAAATCGTGACTGGCTCCTGCCCCAACTCCTGTCTGTGGTGCACTGGCCTCATGAGGATTTGCTCTCTTTGATCACAAGAGTGTGTCCCACCCTATCTATAACTGGACACACCAGATGTTCCTTGCCCTGGTGACAACATCTCCTGGGAGCACACCCTTGGCTCCTGCCCCATTTCACCATGTTTTCGTGCTTCGCGAAGACCTCCAGCATCCGCAGCAACAGCTTCACTGTGGCTGGCTCCTCACTCTTGAACCAGTCGGCCAGAATGTGGGTGGTGATGTCATCCACTACGGCTGCCACATCTGGGCACTGGAGCAGCTGTGGAAGGGAGACCAAGAAAGGCAGGTGGGCAAGGAGAAAAAAAAATCCTCAATGACTTTGGATCTAGGTTCCTACTCATTAGTAGGGAAATGTTCTCAGGGGTTTAGAATTGGTAGAGAGGCCAAAGCTTAAGGGGTGAATTCGTACCTGTCATTCCAGAAGTCATATATTCATTCTCCAAGTTTTCCTTAAGCATTGTTTTTTTTTTTCCAGGACAGAGTCTTGCTCTGTCACTCAGGCTGAAGCGCAGTGGTGTGATCTCAGCTCACTGCAACCTATGCCTCCAGGGTTCAAGCAATTCTCCTGCCTCAGTCTCCTGAGTAGGTGGGACTATTGAGTAGCTGGGACTACACGCATGTGCCACCACACCCAGCTAATTTTTGTATCTTTTAGTAGAGATGGGTTTTCACCATGTTGACCAAGCTGGTATTGAACTCCTGAACTCAGGTGATCCACCCATTTGGCCTCCCAAAGTGCTGGGATTACAGGCATGAGCCACTGCACCTGGCCCCTTAAACATTTTTTTTTTGAGACAGAGTCTCACTCTGTTGCCCAGGCTGGAGTGCAGTGGCACGATCTTGGCTCACTGCAACCTCCATCTCCCAAGTTCAAGCTATTCTCCTCCCTCAGCCTCCCCAGTAGCTGGGATTACAGGCATGTGCCACCCTACCTGGCTAATTTTGTATTTTGAGTAGAGACAGGTTTCACCATGTTGGTCTGGCTGATCTTGAACTCCTGACCTCAGGTGATACCCCCACCTCACTTCCCAAAGTGCTGGGATTACAGGCATGAGCCACCACACCCAGCCCCCTTAAGCATTCTTGATAAGGGAAACTGTAGGAGATAAAGTAAGATGCGCACTCTGCCCTCAAAGATCCTAGCAATTCAGCTGGAGAGTGAAGACTTAGGTACATGAACCACCTATTGAACATTTCAAGGCAATAACACTACACAAATTCAAAGCAAGTAAAAAGTTATTATAAACAGGTATTGCTCTATCTAGGAAAGGTTTATGAAAGAGGTAGAACTGGAGCGGAACTTGAATAAAGAGAACTTCAGTGAGCAGATGGGAGGGGAGCATAGGGGTGTGTGTGTGTGTGTGTGTGTGTGTGTGTTTAACAGGAAAAGGTGGGTATAGCAAAACAAGAGAAAAATGTAGGGAATAAGTGTAACGTAGTTGAGGGAAGGGCAATGGGTGCTGACCCCACTCCAGAGGATCCCATTGGTGAGGAGTTGGACGTGGACAATGTGTTGGGTCGACCAAAGTTCCTAGGAGGAAAGAGACCAGCATGTCATCTTATGGTGTTGCTCCAGCTGGGTGTGGTGGCTCACACCTGTAATCCCAACTACTCTGGAGTTTGAGGCAGGACAATCACCTGAAGCCAGGAGTTGGAGACCAGCCTGGGCAACACAGCGAGAATCCCTGTCTCTAAAAACAAAATAAAAATAAAGTTGCTTCAAGCATAGGTAATAAGGGTCTGGACTAGGCCAGGTAGTGGGAATGGAGAAAAGATGACTGAAGAACATTGCAAAGCACATATTAGTCAGATTTACTGATCTGCTGGAAAAAGCAAAAGAGAAAAGTCAAAGACAGTCCCCTGGAATAATCCTTTTTAAAAGGGAGGATTAAGAAATCACTGTTGGCCAGGCATGGTGGTTCACACCTGTAATCCCAGCACTTTGGGAAGCCGAGTGGGGGATCACCTGAGGTCGGGCGTTAGAGACTAGCCTGACCAACATGGAGAAACCCAGTCTCTACTAAAAATACAAAATTAGCTGGGTGTAGTGGCTCATGCCTGTATCCTAGCTACTTGGGAGCTGAGGCAGAGGAATTGTTTGAACCTGGGAGGCAGAGGTGGCAGTGAGCCGAGATGGCGCCATCGCACTCCAGCCTGGGCAACAAGAGTGATGTCTCAAAAAAATTTAAAAAATCACGTGAACCCCGGAGGCAGAGGTTGCAGTGGGCCGAGATTGCACCACTGCACGTACACCAGCCTAATGGCAGAGCAAGACTCTGTCTCAAAAAAGAAAAAAAAACAAGAGAGAGACCATCCTGGCCAACATGATGAAACCCCGTCTCTACTAAAAACACAAAAATTAGCTGGTCGTGGTGATGTGTGCCCATAGTCCCAGCTACTTGGGGGGCTAGGCAGGTGAATCGCTTGAACCTGGGAGGCAGAGGTTGCAGTGAGCTGACATTGCACCACTGCACTCCAATCTGGCAACAGAACGAGACTCTGTCTCAAAAAGAAAATTATTTTAAATAACATTTTTGCTTGATAACTTGTGATATAGAAAATATATTTTAAATAATAAAATGACATTTAAAAAGCCAAAAGTCAATCAGATACATTTAAAATATATGTACTTGCTTTAGCATGCACGTATGCATGCTCATATGAATGTACATTTACATGTAACTAATGGCAAAGAAGTCTTCATTAGCATCTCAGCAGTTTTCATCTGACTTTGACTGGCAGTCAGGCAGATCCATCCTAATTAACTCTCTAGTTGAGTAAATAAGCTAGAGAGTAAATTCTCTGCCTTACTTTCGTTCTCTACAAAATAGAGGTAAATAACACCCTTTTCACAGAATTAGAGAAAATTAAAATAACAGAGCTCTGCTGTTTCTTGAGTACACTGAAGAAAAGCACACAACCTTTTCTGTTTTAAATATTTCTATTTGTGATCATCTTAAAGATAACGAAGCAACAGCTAGTTGCGGTGGCTCACACCTGTAATCCCAGCACTTTAGAGGCCTAGGTGGGCAGATCACCTGAGGTCAGGAGTTCGAGACCAGCCTGATCAACACGGTGAAACCCCGTCTGCATTAAAAAAAAATAAATAAAGATAATGAAGCAACAAACGGAGAGACAAAGTCTATGAAATATTAGAAAGCTTTCTTAGCCATGGTCTCTCACTTACAGATCTTGACCTACCTACTTACCTGGTACCTAAAACCCCATTGGATTACCACTTTAGAATCTACTGCTTCTCTCTCTGATTGCTGAAAATGGGGTTCACCCGTCCCCCTACTGCGGTGCTCCTTCCAGCCTCTCCCCAACATGCTGACCTCCCCTCCCCATTGTCAGCCCAAAACCCCAATCAGGGTGGCAGATGAGCAAATGCTGTATCATGTGTCCCCTTATTTCAGTTGGGTATCAGACACTTGGGGAAACTTCTAGAGTGATTCTCAATCCAAGCTATATTTCTAGAATATACCTTTAATCCTGGGAGCTTCTAAAACAAACTGATGTCTGGACCCATGCCAGATCAATTCAAATAGAAAAACTAGACAGAGAGTGAGGGGCAGGGTGGAGGCTTGGCATTAGCATTTTTGAAACCTCCCATGAGGATTCTGATATGCAGCAGGGTTCGGAATTACTGCTCTAAAGAGAGAGGCAGCCATCTCATGGTGGCCTCCTGCCCACTTGGGCTTGTGCCTTGTACTGTTTCTCCAAGCTGGGTCCAAGGACTATCTGTGGCACAACAACCACCGGAGTACTTCTAGAAAATGAAGACTTCCGCTGGGCGCAGTGGCTCACACTGTAATCCCAGCAGTTTGGGAGACTGAGGCGGGTGGATCACCTGAGGTTGGGAGTTCGAGACCATCCTGGCCAACGTAGTGAAACCCCGTCTCTACTAAAAATACAAAAATTAGCTGGGTGTGGTAACACACCTTTATAATCCCAGCTACTCAGGAGGCTGAGGCAGTGCTTGAACTCAGGAGGCGGAGATTGCAGTGAGCCAAGATCGTGCCATTGCACTCCAGCCTGGCGACAGAGCAAGACTCCATCTCAAAAAAAAAAAAAAAAAAAAATCAGGTGGCTTGAATTTTAAAAGGGTCCCATTTAAGGCTGTAGTGGGTCAGAAACTCTGAAATTATCTCAAATACTATTGGTGGAAGTCTAAGTTGATACAGCTCTACCAGAAAGCAATTTGTCTTCTTTGTTAAAATTCAAAGAAGACGTTCATACTTTTGTATCCAATAGTTTCACTTATTATATTCAATAGTTAAGGAAATAATCTGGAATATGGGCAAAAACTTTTGAAAGAGATGTTCAAATATAAATGTTATTTATAATTGTGCAAAATTGGAAACAGAATGTTGAATAAATTATAGATCATCTTTGTGATGAAACATTGTGTCACCACTAACATGTTTATAGGCCAGGTATGGTGGCTCACAACTGTAATCCCAGCACTTTGGGAGGCCCAGGTGGGAGAATCACTTGAGCCCAGGAGTTCAAGACTAGCCTGAGCAGTATAATGAGACTTCCTTCTCTGCATTAAAAAAAAAAAATTTAAATTAGCCAAGCAGGGTGGTACATGCCTGTAGACCTTCATCCTCAGAAGGCTGAGGTGGGAGGATCACTTGAGCCCAGGAGATGGAGGCTGCAGTGAGCCATGATCAAACCACTGCACTCCAGCATAGAACATACCTTTAAACCTGGGGCAACAGAGTGAGACCCTGTCTCAAAAAAAAACAAAATAAAACAGAATTTTAAAATGTATGTTACAGGCTGGGTGTGGTGGCTCACACCTGTAATCCCAGCACTTTGGGAGGCCGAGGTGGGTGGATCATGAGGTCAGGAGTTCAAGACCAGCCTGGCCAAGATGGTGAAACCCTGTCTCTAGTAAAAATACAAAAATTAGCCAGGCATGATGGCATGTGCCTGTAATCTCAGCTAATCAGGAGGCCGAGGCAGGGAATTGCTTGAACCCAGGAGGCAGATGTTGCAGTGAGCCGAGATCATGCCACTACACTCCAGCCTGGGAGACAGAGCAAGACTCTCTCTCAAAAAAGAAAAACCTACGTTACAAAGAACATGTAATGACATAGACAGATATTTGAATACAGCAGGATATAGAATATTAGTAGAAAACAATTTCTACTAATGCAGTCGCTCACACTGGTAATCCCAGCACTTTAGAAAGCTGAGGTGGGTGGATCACCTGAGGTCAGGAGTTTGAGACCAGCCTGACCAATATGGTGAAACCCCATCCTACTAAAATTCTAAAAGTACAAAAATTAGCCAGGCGTGGTGTTGTGCACCTATAGTCCCAGCTACTTGGGAGGCTAAAACAGGAGAATTGCTTGAGCCCAGGAGATGGAGGTTGTAGTGAGCCAAGATTGCGCTACTGCACTCCAGCCTGGGTAACAGAGGGAGACTCCGTCTAAAAAAAAAAAAAGGAAGAAAGAAAATGATTTCAACCAGCACACACACACACACACACACACACACACACACACACCTCTATACAGGCAAAAACCTGAATGAATGTGGTTTCCTCTGGGGATTATTCTTCGCAATGGTTTTATAGTTTTTGATATACTTTTCCATATTTTCGAAATTTCCTATTTTTTTTTTCTGCAGGTGGCTGAATCATATTGAGTCAATCAGGGGCCCTAAGCAAATATTAACTTTAAAAGGCTGCTCAAGGCTGAGGTGGTTGAAGGAGAGAGCTGTGTGGTTCCGTAAAGTCAGGGCAGAGTCAAACTGCCAAGAGATTTCAGGAGGCGCCAAAGCCCCCAACTCAAGGTAACCAAATCAAGTGCCATTAGCCATGTCCCCCAACCCTTCCTAGCAGTGAGTCGGTGGCCTTCCTGGGAGGTGTCTGTTGGGTGTGGCTGTCTTACAGAGGGATCACCCTCACCAGCTCCCCTCCCGCCAAGAGCCAGTCACCTCTGTCAGGAGCACAAGGGCTGTCAAGGGATTCTTGCAGTCTGGGTCCTGGAGGAAACTGATGATGGAGCCGAAGAGCGGGCGGTTGTGCCAGCAGTTATTGATGACCAGGGACCTACCGACAAGAGCACAGTGTTCAAGTGAGGTCTGGGCTGCAGGAGAGGGCCAAGTGAATGGCTGGCCCTCCAGCCGGGACCCAGGTGCAGCTCACCTGGCCAGCAGAGTGACTCCATCATAGTGCCTTTCAGGATTGACGAGCAGCCCCCAGCCCCCATGTCTCTGAATAGAAGACACATGGTCCCCATACCCACAATTTTGCATCAAGGTCTTCAGGGCCTCCACGGTAGAACTGAAGAAAGAGCAGAAAACAGAAGTCACTCACCCTCTGCGCTCCTCTCCCTCATCAACCACCTGCCCGACTCCCAAGGCTTTCTTGGGATCATAAACTGCTGGTGGTGGGACAACCCCCAGAGACCCAGTTAATATTTTACAAGTGAAGCAACTGAGACCAAGACAGATGTGACAGCTGCAAGGTGACACAGTGAGCTGGCAGAAGGGTAGGGGAGGCAGTCCAGGTCTGTGGACTCAGATGTGTGTTTGATCTATGATATTGATCTCACTTTGGTACAGAATCTGTGCATCAGCCTAGTAGGCCAGGTTTAAAGAAGGAGTCTTTTCTAAAAAGTCCAGAAAGCTGGACTCCCACCTGCAATCCCAGCAACACAGGAGGCTGAGAGAAGAGGATGGTTTGAGGCCAGGAGTTCAAGACCAGCTTGGGGAAAATAGCAAGACCCTGTCTCTAAAAAATAAAATAATAAAATGCAACTTTTTTTTAATCCAGGAAGACTTCTTCTTACAAAGTGCGGAGAACAGGTTAAGTGCCCTGGCAGGAGGGTGTACAAAGGGTATTCAGGCCCAGGCTGACAAGTCAGGCGAAGGTGCTAAGCTGAATGCCCCTGGAGCGTAATCACTAGCAAACGCCAAAGGTACCTTATCGGGTCCACCCATTCAGCTATGTGTTGCTGATCCTGGCTTATTTCATCACCCCCTTCAAGCACAAAAAAGGAGATCTGGAATAGCAGGGCCAGGAACAAGGAGGAGAAGAAGGACTGCACCTCCATCCGCCGGCTGGGTACCCGCAGGAGCTCATGGATGGCCCTGGTGGCCTGGGAGGGAGGAGGAGAGTGAGCCATTATCATATCTTCAACTCATAGGTCCTGTCACCAGAAAATTTCTTTCCACAACCCATCATTATGACAGATTTGTCCAGTAAAAACCATGCTGCTAGAGCAAGTGAAGACTAAATTAGTGTGAGCCAGAAAAATCAAGGGCAATTTCTAGAATGTCGTTGTTTTAAAAGCGCTCTTCTAATCATGGTGGCTATTTTAGTCTCTTATATTTCGAGAGTTAAAGAGGGCTGGGGAATCCATTTCTTCTATCTTCCTGACAAAGCAAAGTCAACTGAAAAACCCTCCCTGCAAGCCAACTCCAAGACTGCCATTAGACTGCTCCACCAAACACTGATACCTAAAAGGTCAAGGCCTAAAGAGCCCGCTACAGCAAGGACAGGACAGCAGGGAGTCCCCTTCCCTACCCCGGCCCCCCTCTGTTGGCCTTTCCATACAATCAATGGTGAGATCTCTGTTCCTCTGTGGCTGGGCTTCTGGTCCTTTGATCTCTGGTGTGGAGTCAGCCTCTGGAGCAGGTATTCCATGATCATTTCGTAGCCTTTGGGGAAGGATGCCAGGATTTCCCAGGGCTTGCAAACCCCTCTGCAGAGTCAGAAACCCACCAACACAGTTACCCGCTTCAGGTAGCCCACTCTCCACAGGTCCCATGGTGCTTCCAGGAGAGGTGACACTAGGCCCCCTCATTTCTTCCTTCTTTTTTGCCTCTCTCTTCATTACCCTTCTCTTTTTCTCCTTCTGTCCCTTTCATCTTGCCATCACCTCCAGACCTCCATGTTCCCTGTCATCTCACACAAATCTGGAAATGTTCACTTGCTCTGTGAACCTGGTTTGAGAAAATACCTGAGGTCAAAGCTTGTTGGCCACACTTGAATGTGTCAGATTGGTGAGAAGAGCATCCCATGGGTCCCTTCTCTCTGGCCTGTCCAAGCTGTCAACCCCCACCCACCCTCAGACCACTGCATCTGTCTTCCAGGCTTTCCGCTGTCATCCTTAATACCCAGCATGACCGCACCCCTCTTCAGGCTGGCTCTGACCACCAGCCCTGCACAGCACCCATGCCTCATCTCATGCACCCACTCACTCTCCTCTATCATCAGGCACATGCCTTTCTCTTTGCCTGGCATGTCTCCCCACTCACCTTTACCTGGCAAAATCACACTCAGAAGAAAAGTACATATCTGAAAAGCATTTGCTACAAATAACATAAAATGTTAGGAAAATCTGCTTAGTGTCCTTGTGAAGTCATGGCCTTTTTGAAACAGGAAGAGAAAGCAATGAGGAAGTGAAGATGAAATAAAAGGTGAAGACAGACTTTCACAGCTGGCAAACAATACACAGCATGCTCTGGGGACAAAAACAAGAGAGGAAAAAATGGGCTGTCAATGAAACAATGGCAATGAGACTGACAGCCAATTTCTCCACAGAAACAGTGGAAAGCAGAAGACAGTGGAATAAACCTTCCAAGCATTGAACAAAAATAAAACATCAACCCACAAGTTCCCAACAAATCTGTCATTTAATGCAGATTTGCTTTATAGATAAGCAAAAATAGATGGTGTGATTCATAGAGTCTCACCAGAGGATAAACTTCTAAATAATGCCTTTAGGAGTATTTTTTCTTTCCCCTTTAGGGAAAAGAAAAATAATTTCCTAAGGAAAGTTCGAGGTGTAAAGGATGGTGAGCAAATAGAATGGTAAATATGCCTATAAATCTAAACACAATATTAGAGTAAGAATGTGCATAACAGCATAACAGCACTGTTAATAATAGCTGGAAACAACAGTCATTTAAAAAAGAATGGGTAAAATAAGTTTGTAATAATCATAAAATGAGAAATGAAACAATCAAATAAGCCTGGTCTGGCTGGGTGAGGTGGCTCACACCTGCAATCCCGGTACTTTGGGAGCCTGAGGCAGGAGGACTGCTTGAGCCCAGGAATTCAAGACCAGCTGGGGCAACATGGTAAGACCCGTCTCTACTTTAAAAATATACAAAAAAGAAAAATAAATAAATAAACAAGCCTGGCCAGGCATGGTGGCTCACACCTGTAATCCCAGCTCTTTGGGAGGCTGAGGCAGGTTCCTGAGGATCACCTGAGGTCAGGAGTTTGAGACCAGCCTGGTCAACATGGCAAAACCCCATCTCTACTAAAAATAAAAAAAAAAAATTATCTGGGTGTAGTGGCAGACACCTGTAATCCCAGCTACTCGGGTGGCTGAGGCAGGAGAATCACTTGAACCCAGGAGGTGGAAGTTGCAGTGAACCGAGATTGTGCCATTGCACTGCAGCCTGGGAGACAGAGCAAGATTCATCTCAAAATAAACAAACAAACAAATAAGCCTGGTCTAATAGATGACTTTGCATGTAGTAGAGAATATTGTTTCAAATATCCATTAAACATATAGTACAGCTGATAATCTTAATCTTCCTGGAGCATGCGCACAGAAGAACCCCTCAACACATTCTCTAACGGAGAAGATGAAGATTTCGATCATGTTCTCTAATTTTCATCCAGTAAAACTAGAAAAAGATTATCAAAATATCTAAACACTTGGAAATCAAAAGATTAAAGAAAGAAATCTGTATAAATTTGAATAAATATGTCATTAGAGGTTGTATTGGCATTCAGTATATTTCAAAGTCTATTATTTTATTTTTCAAAAAACTCAGCAGATGTTATTTCTTTGTGTCGAAAGCTTTCAAAAGCCTCTCTTCTGGCTGTTTTGTAATATATGATACCTTATGGTTGACCACAGTCACTCTCCTGTGCCAGAACTTATTCTTCCTATTATATTATAACTTTGTTTCTCCAGCCGGGTGCAGTGGTTCACGCCGGTAATCCCAGCACTTTGGGAGGCCAAGGCCGGCAGATCACCTGAGATGGGAGGATAACTTTAACCTGGGAGGTTGAGTCTGCAGTAAGCTAGGATCATGCCTCTGTACCCTACCTGGGGCAACAGAGCAAGACCCTGTCAAAAAAGAAAGAGAGAGAGAGAGAGAGAGAGAGGGAGAGAGAGACACACACACACACACACACACACACACACACACACACAGAGAGAGAGAGAGAGAGAGAGAGAGAGAGAGAGAAAAGCAAAGAAAGAAATAGAAAAATGAATGTTCTCAGCTGAGAAACTGAGAAGCTATTTTAAAACAAAATGGAAATTTTAGGACTGAAAAATGTCATATCTAAAACAAAAATTCACTGGATGAGATCAAGAGGAAAATGATTATAAATAGAAGAGTTCATGAACTTGCAGACAAATTAATAAAAATTATACAATCTAAAGAAGTAAGAAATTAGAAAAAAAATAACAGAGCTTCAGGAATTTATAGGACTCCATTAAAAAGTTGAATATTCAGCCAGGCACAGTGGTTCATGGCTGTAATCCCAGCACTTTGGGAGGCCAAGGAGAGTGGATCATGAGGCCAGGAGTTTAAGACCAGCCTGGTCAAGATGGTGAAACCCCATCTCTGCTAAAAATACAGAAAATTAGTCAGGCATCATGACAGGTGCCTGTAATCCCAGCTACTCAGGAGGTTGAGGCAGAGAATTGCTTGAACCCTGGAGGCAGAGGTTGCAGTGAGTCGAGATCACACAGCTGCACTCCAACCTGGGCAACAGAGCAAGACTCTGTTTCAAAAGAAAAAAAGAAAGTTGAATATTCATGTTATTGGAAACTTGTAAAGAGAAGAAAAAGAGACTGGTACAGGAAAAAAAAAAAAAAAACTAAAGAAATAATGACCTAAAACTTCCCAAATTTGGTGAGAGAGATACATTTACAGATTCAAGAAGTACAGTGAAGTTTGAACAAGATACACTAATCACAAGAAATATTGATTACATTAAGAGCCCACTTGAGTGATTCACAATAATCTCCCCATTTCAAGATTCTTAGCTGATACAGCAAGGAGCTGTTCAAAAAAAAGAATAAGATTCTTAGCTGAAAAAGCCCCTTTGCCATTGTCTCAGTTTGTATTGTGCTGCTACCACAAAATCTCATAGACTGGGTATTTTACAATGAACAGAAATGCATTGGTTCACAGTTCTGGAGGTTGGAAAGTCCACAACTGAGGAGCTAGAATCTGGCAAGGACATACAGTTTGCAAGGGCAAAACTAACAGAGACCATGCCCAAACACATTATAACCAAGCTTCTGAAAACAAGGATAAAGAAAAAAACATCTTGAAAGCAGCCATGAATAAAACAAGAATAAAACATATGGAAAATAAGACGTTGCATATAGGAAAAAATGTCTGAATCACTGCTGATTTCTTATTGCAATGCTGATTTCTTATCGTAAACTATAAGTCCAGAAGACACTGGAGCAATATGTGATGGAAAAAAAAGAACCATCCACGTAGATTTCAATACCCAATAAAAATACTCTTTAAAAATGCAGGTAAAGTTCAGGCACAGCGGCTCAGGCCTGTAATCTCAGCACTTTGGGAGGCCGAGGCCAGGAGTTCAAGACCAGCCTGAATAACATGAAGAAACCCCATCTCTACTAAAAATGCAAAATTAGCCAGGCATGGTGGTGCATGCCTGTAATCCCAGCTACTCGGGAGGCTGAGGCAGGAGAATTGCTTGAACCCAGGAGGCAGAGGTTGTGGTGAGTGGAGATCACGCCATTGCACTCCAGCCTGGGTAACAACAGTGAAACTCCGTCTCAAAAAAAAAAAAAAAAAAAAAAAAAAATCAAAATCTAATAGACGAGTTAAAATAGAATGGCTAAAAATATTTGAACAATTGGAAAGAATGCAGGAAAGGGGAACATAGGAATAAAAAACAAAGGGGAGGAACAAAATAAATCCTAAAATGGTAGACTTAAATCCAAACATATTATTAATTACATTTTTAAATAAATGATTTAAAAACACAAACTAAATGGTAGAGATTATCAGATTAGACAAAAACACAAGTCTAACTACATGCTATATCAAAAAAAAAAAAGCATTCTTGACAGGCGCAGTGGCTCACACCTGTAACCTCAGCACTTTGGGAGGCCAAGGGCAAATCATGAGGTCAGGAGTTCGAGACCAGCCTGGACACTATGGTAAAAATCTGTCTACTAAAATACAAAACTATCTGGGCATGGTGGTGGGTGCCTGCAATCCCAGCTGCTCAGGAGTCTGAGGCAGGAGAATCACTTGAACCCAGGAGGCAGAGGTTGCAGTAAGCCAACACTGCACCATTGCACTCCAGCCTGGGTAAAAAAAAAAAAATTCTAAATATAATTATACATATTAGTTAAAAAAAAGGAAAAAGATGTACCACACAAATACAAACTATTTAAAAAGCAAAATGGCCATACTAACATCAGACAAAGGAAACTTCAGGACAAAGAATAGTACCAGGGACAAAGAGGGACATCAATTAATGACAAAACAGTCAATTCATCAAGAAGATGTAGCAACCTTAAATGTATATACACCTAAAAAAATACATGAAGCGAAAAATTATAAAACCGAAGGAACAAATAGATAAACCCATGAGTGTATAGGGAGATTTCAACACTCCTCTCTCATTAATTGACAGAATATGTAGACAGAAAATCAGCAGAGTTACAAAAGTCTTGAACAACACTATCTTAATCTAACTTAGAGAACACTCAGAAACAACAGCATAATATACATTTTTTTTTTTTTTTTTTGAGACGGAGTTTCGCTCTTGTTACCCAGACTGGAGTGCAATGGTGCGATCTTGGCTCACCGCAACCTCTGCCTCCTGGGTTCAGGCAATTCTCCTGCCTCAGCCTCCTGAGTAGCTGGGATTACAGGCACGCACCAGCCCAGCTAATTTTATGTATTTTTAGTAGAGACGGGGTTTCACCATGTTGGCCAGGATGGTCTCAAACTCCTGGCCTCAAGTGATCCACCTGCCTTGGCCTCCCAAAGTTCCGGGATTACAGGTGTGAACCACTGCGCCTGTCCAGAATACACATTCTTTGTAGGTGCACATGACCATTCCCCACAATATACCACATTCTGGGCCATGAAATAATCCTGAACAATTTTTGAGGAATAGAAATCACATAAAGTATGTTATCTGGCCATAATAAATTTGAACCAGAAATACATGAAGCAAAAAATGATAAAACTGAAGGAACAAAAAGATAAATCCATAAGTATATTGAGAGACTTCAATACTCTTCTCCCAGTAATTCACAGAATATGTAGACAGACAATCACCAACAGAAATATACCTGAACAATCCACAAATATTTGGAAATTAACAATACTTCTAAATAATTAATGGGTAAGAAAGACTTAAGGGAAATTAGAAGAGATTTTTGAACTAAATGAAAATGAAAATACAATATATTTTTGTTAGATGTAGCTAAAACTTAGATGTATGCTTAGAGGAACATTCATAGCATTAAAATGCTTATTTTAAAAAAGAATAAAGTTCTCAAATTAGTAATTTACAATTCCACCTTAAGAGACTAGAAGAAGATGAGCAAATTAATAGCTAATCTGAATGATCGTAACTACTAAATAAATTCAATCCATAGTTTTAAAACTTTTAATGAATACAACTCTAGATCCAGATGGTTTTAGTATTGAATTCTACTAAATATTTAGAAAAAATTAATACCCATTTTACATAGTCTCCTCCAAAAAATAGAAAATAAGAAAATACTCCCAAAACAATCTTCTGAGTTCAGCATTATCTTGGCACAAAAACCAAAGACCAAATATCTCCCATGAAAAAAATCCTCAACCAAATAGACTCAAAAGTCCTTAACAAAATATTAACAAATTGAATACAGCAATATGTTAAAAAGATCATACATTACAACCAAATGGGGTTTATCCTGGGAATGCAAGGCTGGCTCCACAGTCAAAAATGTAATTTATCATATTAACAGAATACAACAGAAAAAACACACAGTCATCTCAATAGATGTAGTAAAAATGATTGTGATAATCTCCATTTGCAGTAAACACTCACAACAAACTAGAAATAGAAGGAAACTTTCTTAACCTGATGAAGGACATCTGACATCAACAACAAAGTGCTACCATCTAGCATCATACTTAATGGTGAAAGACTGAAAGCTTTTCCTCAAAGATTGGGAATAAAGCAAAGATGTCCACTCTCATCACCCATACTCAGCATTGTACTAGGCGTCCTAGCCAGTGTGATAAAGCAAGAAAAAGAAACACTATAAACGGCCACTATTAACAGATGATATGATGGTTTATGCAGAAAATCCCAGTGAATCTATTAAAAACCTCTAAGAATAAGTGAAACCTACTTATTACAGGATATAAGGTCAGTTAAGGTCAATGTACAAAAATTTATGTTATTTCTATACAGCAGTAATAATTACATTTTTAAAAAATTATTTTTGTACCATTTACAATTGCACAAAAAATACTTAGGTGTAAAACTAATAAAATATTTGCAAGATCTGTGTACTGAAAAATACAAAAGATTGATGAAGGAATTTAAAGACCTAAATAAATAAAGAGATATGCCATGTTCATGGACCAGAAACTCAATATTGTGAAGATGTCGATTCTCCTTATGCTTATCTACAGATGTGACATAATCCCAATAAAAATACCAGCAGAATATTTTAAAAGAAACAACTATATAAATTATAAAATTTATGTGGAAAAACAAAGAAAATAAAATAGCCAAAACAATTTTGAGAGTTATAGGCCAGGTGCAATGGCTTACACCTGTAATCCCAGCACTTTGGGAGGCTGAGGTAGGAGGATCAGTTGAACTCAGGAGTTTGAGACCAGTCATGCAACACTGCAAGACTCCGTTTCTATATAAAAAAAAAAAAGGCTGGATGAGGTAGCACGTGCCTGTGGTTCCAGCTACACAGGAGGAAGTGAGAGGATTGCTTCAGCCCCAAAGTTCAAGGCTGCAGTGAACTAAGATTGCACCACTGCAGAACTCCAGCCTGGGTGACAGTGACACCCTATCTCAAAAAAAAGAAAAAGTAATAAAATGAGACAGTACGATACTGATTAAAGAATTGATATACAGATCGATGGATCAGAAGAGAGCCCGTAATGAGAGGCACACGAATATTGTCAATTGATTTTGTTGTTGGTTTTTTTTTTTTTTTTTTTTTTTGAGACAGGGTCTCACTCTGCCACCCAGGCTGGAGTGCAATGGTGCAAACTTGGCTGGCCTCAAGGTCCGCCTCCCTGGTTCAAGTGATTCTCATGCCTTGACCTCCCAAGTAGCTGGGATAACAGGTGCCAGCCACCATGCCCAGCTAATTAATGTATTTTTAGTAGAGATGGGGTTTTGCCATCTTGGCCAGAGTGGTCTCCAACTCCTGAACTCAAGTGATCTGCCCACCTTGGCCTCCGAAAGTGCTGGGATTACAGGTGTGAGCCACCACACCCAGCCATCAACTGATATTTGATAAATGTGCAAAGACAATTCAGTGGAGAAATGATAATCTCTGCAACAAATGGTGCTGGAACAATTAGACTTCCACATGCAACAAACTGAACCTTGACCCATTCCTCACACTTTCCAAAAAGTTAAGTAAAAATGAAATATAAACATAAATATAAAACACAAAAGCTAAAACTTCTAGAAGGAAACATGGAACGAAATACCTATGACCCTAAATATGGTCCATAAGAAACAAAATGTTGGATTTCATCAAATTAAAAACTTTTGAACTCTTAAGAGAATGAAGACAATCCACAAAATGGGAGATACACACGAAAATCATACATCTGGCAAAAGACTTGTGTACAGAATATATAAAGACCTCTCAAAACTCACCAATAAGAAAACAAACAACCCAACCATGAAATCGGTAAAAGACTTGGATGCTTGACAAAGAAGTTATATGAACAGCAAAGAAAGACATGAAATGATGCTCATCATCATTTGTTGTAATTGAGTCAGGGAGATGCAAATTAAAATCACAATGAGAGGTTACCCCACACTTGTTAGAATAGCTACTTTTTTTTTTGAGACAGCCTCACTCTGTCTCCCAGCTTGGAGTGCAGTGGTATCATCTCGACTCACTGCAACCTCCGCTTCCCAGGTTCAAGCGATTCTCCTGCCTCGGCCTCCCAAGTAGCTGGGATTACAAGCACTCACCACCATGCTCTGCTTATTTTTGTATTTGAAGTAGAGATGGGGTTTCACCATGTTGGCCAGGCTGGTCTCAAACTCTTGACCTCAAGTGATCCACCCGTCTTGGCCTCCCACTCCCAAAGTGCTGGGATTACAGACATGAGCCACCGCGCCCGGCCTGAATATGTGTTAAAAAGAAGCAAATAAACTACTGGGGGCATGAACATGTGGAATTGAAAGTCACCTACTTTTGCGACTGATCTTCTATCTTAAATAGTGTCAGGATAACTTCATCAGTATAGGACTGGGACAGCAGATACAGGATCTTCCTAATGGGCTTTAGGGCTATGGCTTCTGTAATGCTGTTCATGTGGTAGTAAATGTACTGGATGATTTCCGGCACCTAAAATGAGGGAAAAGGAGATTCTTTCCAGATACTCAGCATCAGCTCACCAGCATTCACATAACTAGGCACCCACTTCACCTGTAGGGCTGCACACAATGCTTACATAGCATGTCCAGACCAAAGAAGTCACCATCCCACTGCACTTTGCCCCGGTCAGGCCACACCCTCAGGACTGTGGACTGTCTTGGACCCTATGGGGCCTGAAGAAACTCCAGATTGGATGCTAATCCACCATATTGACTTTTTTTTTTTTTTGAGACAGTCTCGTTCTGTCGCCCAGGGAGCTGGAGTGCAGTGACGCCATCTCAGCTCACTCAGCTCACTGCAACCTCCACCTCCCGGGTTCAAGTGATTACCCTGCCTCAGTCTCCTGAGTAGCTGGGAATACAGGCGCATGCCACCATGTCTGGCTAATTTTTGTTTTATCTTGTTTTCAGGCAGAGTCTCATTCTGTGGCCCAGGTTGGAGAACAATGGCATGATCTTGGCTCACTGCAACCTCCGCCTCCCGGGTTCAAGTGCTTCTTCTGCCCCAGCCTCCCGAGTGGCTGGGATTACAGGCATTTGTCACAATGTCTGGGTAATTTTTGTATTTTTAGTAGAGACAGTGTTTCACCATGTTGGTCAGGATGGTCTCAAACTCCTGACCTCAAGATCCACCCACCTCAGCCTCCCAAAGTGCTGGGATCACAGGCGTGAGCCACTGCGCCCGGCATGGCTTCTGCTTTTAAGTCAGTATTAAATGTTTCTCAGAAACTGGATTCTCAACCTCTCTCTTTGACCTCTCAGCTTCCCTGGACTTTAAGGGTAGCTGCATACAGACCCGCCCACCATGGAACAGCCCCCATATTTTAAGAGGGACAAAATAGACAGCAGTCAGGGGAGACCAGAACCGTGTCTGGAAACCATGTCATGAAGAATGAAGGAAGACTTTGAGGATGAGCGACTTAGAGAAAGGAAGACAGAGGGCGTAGAATCGCTGCCTCCAAGTGGTCTCCAGACTATTATGGAGGGAGGGAAGTCAGTCCTTGCTGTTTACTGGCCATGTAGGTGGTAGACAGCATGAACTCTGAAGTCACACTCCCTGGATGTGAATTTCATTTCCCCACTTACTGTGCGAGTTTGGGAAAGCTTTTCATCCTCTCTGTGTTCTATTTCCTCAAGCAAAACGTGAGGACAATTCTACTTACATCAACAGTTCTGAGTTAATGCATCTGAATTGGTTGGAACAGTGTCTGTCACAGAATAACTGCTCAAGAACTTCAGTAATTAAGGCTCGTCACCTCTTTGAGCCTTTTCTCATTTTGTTTTTCTTTTGAGACAGGGTCTAGCTCTGTTGCCCCAGCTGGAGTGCAGTGGCGCAATTATAGCTCCCTGCAAAGCCTCCACCTCCTGGGTTCAGGCAATCCTCTCACCTCAGCATCCCTAGTAGCTGGGTCTACAAGTACACACCACCATGAGCAACTAATTATTTTGATTTTTAGTAGAAATGAGGTCTTGCTCTATTGCCCAGGCTGGTCTTGAACTCCTAAACTCAAGAGATCCTACTGCCTGGGCCTCCCAAAATTCTGGGATTACAGGTGTGAGACACTGCGCTGGGCCTTCTCATTTCTAAAGAGAAAATAATAATTACAACAGATATGTTGTAAAAACTGAATAAAAGAACATGTAAAAGAAGCTAGCATAGTATATAACACCTAGCATTAGGAACACTTGAATATTAACTGTATTCTGCATAACCCCAGAAGACAAACTTGGGCCAGGGACTAGAAACTATGGGGGTGCAGATTTCACTGCTCTGTAAGTTAGAACTTTTAGGTAAGGAAAGTGGTTCACCCTTACACACTGTTGGTGGAATGTAAATTAGCATAACCATTATGGAAAATTCCTGCTAGGCCTGTGGCTCACACCTGTATTCCAGCACTTTGGGAGGCAGAGGTGGGTGGATCACTAGGTCAGGAGATCGACAGCATCCTGTCTAACATGGTGAAACCTCATCTCTACTAAAAAAAATACAAAAACTTAGCCAAGCATGGTGGCACATGATTGTAGTCCCAGCTACTCAGAAGGCTGAGGCAGGAGAATCGCTTGAAGCTGGTAGGCAGAGGCTGCAGTGAGCTGAGATTGAGCCACTGCACTCCAACCTGGGCAACAGAGCAAGACTGCATCTCAAAGGAAAAAAAAGGAAACTTTCAACATTATGGAGGTTACTCAAAAAACTTAAACTACCAATACCACTTACAGGTATATAGCCAAAGAAAATGAAGAGATAGCTGCACTCCCCTGTTCATTGCAGCATTTTTTGTAATAGCCATGAAAGGGAAAGGACCTAAGCTTCCAAGAGCAGATGAATGGATAAAGAAAATGTGGCTTATACACAATGGAATGCTATTCACCCTTAAAAATGAAGGAGGCTGGGCCTGGTGGCTCACGCCTGTAATCTTAGCATTTTCGGAGGCTGAAGCAGGCAGATCACCTAAGGTCAGGAGTTCAAGATCATCCTGGCCAACATGATGAAACCCTGTCTCTACTAAAAATACAAAAATTAGTTGGGTGTGGTGGCAGGAACCTGTAATCCCAGCTATTCAAGAGACTGAGGCAGGAAAATCACTTGAACCCAGGAGGTAGAGGTTGCAGTCAGCAGAGATTGCACCATTACACTCCAGCCTGGGGGACAAGAATGAGACTTCATCTCAAAAAAACAACAATAACAAAAAAAAAAAAAAAAAAAAAAGGAAACCCTGTCATTTGTAACAATATACATGAACCTGGAGGACATTATGAAAAGCGAAACAAGCCAGGTATAGAAAGATCACCCACAAATACTGGGTGATCTTACTTAGATGTGGAATTTTAAAAAGTCAAATTAATAGAAGCAGAGAGTAGAATGGTGGTTACCAGGAGCTGGAGGTTAGGAGGATTGGGGAGATATTGGTCAAAGGATACAAAATTTCATTTAAACAGGAGAAATAAGTTCAGATTTATTGTACAAGAAAATTGCCAAGATGGTAGATGTTCAGTGTTCTCACTACAAAAAAATGAGCATGTGAATTAATGGGTATGTATGTTAATTAGCTTGATTCAACCATCCCACAATGTATAGATATTTCAAAATATCATGTTGTATGCCATAAACATATATTCTTTTTGTAAATTAAAAAAAATTTTTTTTTGAAAAGCAAGTAGTTTACAAATACAAATGAGCTATGGTTTAAGGTGGTGAACGCCTCAAGATTGCTTTCAGCACCGTCTGGCTGTCCAGTGGTCTGGGGTGCTCTCCAAGAGATTACAAGCATTGTGCTTGCTTTACATACACTAAAATTGGATGATACAGAGAAGATTAGCATGGCCCCTGCACAAGGATGATATGCAGATTCGTGAAGCGTTCCATACAAAATAGATTTAAAACATTCAAAAGAGATTACAGTCATCAAGTGCGGAGTTAGAGTTGTTGACCTCTGGAGTCCCCTTCAACTCTAAGAGCTTATCTGTGGTCTGCTCTGAGGCATTCAATCAAATGGAAATCCAGGCCAGAGAAGTGGAAAGTGTAAGATTCCTGAAGTGCTAATAGAACCTATTGAGGGCTGGGCGTGGTGGTTCACGCCTGTAATCCAAGCACTTTGGAGGCCAAGGCGGGTGGATCACCTGAAGTCGGGAGTTCAAGACCAGCCTGACCAACATGGTGAAACCCCTTCTTAAAAAAAAAAAAAAAAAAAAGAAGAAGAACCTACTGTGGAGAGGTAAGTGAGGTAGAGAAGTGGGTTAGGCCATTAAAATGAGAGCGACTCCATCAGTCCATAAGATCTTTTAAAACAGTGTAATAAAAAGGTCAGCTAAACTGTGCTGGCTTGACTTTATTATTATTATTATTATTTGAGATGGAATCTTGCTCCATTGCCCAGGCTGGAGTGCTATGGTGCGGTCTCAGCTCACTGCAACCTTCACCTCCTGGGTTCACGCGATTCTCCTGCCTCAGCCTCCTGAGTAGCTGGGATTACAGGTGCCTGCCACCATGCCTGGCTAATTTTTTGTATTTTAGTAGAGATGGGGTTTCACCACGTTGGCCAGGCTGATCTCGAACTCCTGACCTCATGATCCACCCACCTCAGCCTCCCAAAGTGCTAGGATTACAGGTGTAAGCCACTGCGCCTAGCCCTATGCAGTCTTCATTTTATGGAGAACCAGTCCCAGCTCTCATAAAGGAGTCTCTGTATTTCATCTCTACTTATGTTAAAGTCTCATAAGTGTATGGATGTGTACGTAACACACACACACACAAACACACACACATATATATGTACAAATATAAATATCTATACTCCCCTGAATCCTCCCTCCTGAATAATGAAGAAGGCACCTATAGATCTAACATATCAAATACTGTCTGGACCCAGGAAGGATGGCTGAGGTCTCGCCTGGTCCTAGGAGCCCCTAATAGTCTGCTACAGCATTGACTCAATTTTTCTTCCCATCCTGGTGGAGATGGAGGCCAGATGGTCACCCTTTCCCACAGAAGAGTCTTTTCCACAATCACAAACAACTCCTCATTCAACCTTTTCTCCTCTGGGTTGAAGCATGGTGATTCTTTAAACTCCAAACTGGTAGGAGATAGAACAAGACCCAAAACAGAACAGTAAGGAAGAATCCTTAAATTGACCTTGAACCACCAGGTTCCCAGAGCTGCTACCTTCCCAATCTCTGGAATCGTGTACTTCAGGATCATCTTTAACATCTTGGAAGCTCCGGAGATGTCATGCCTGGTGGTGTTGGTCATGGCCTCCATGGTCACCATGATCACATCCGCTCTCTCCTCAGGGGTCAGGTATTTCTTGAAGAACTGAAGAAAGAAGAACAGCTGTCTCCACAATGCCAGCATCCCAACTTAGGTCTGCCCTAAAGCCTCTGATCTCCAAAGAGACAAATCAACCAGGGGCCAGTGGAGGCAGTCCCTGGCCAGCATCTGGCTATTCCATGGTGTGAGCCAAGCTTCAGAGTGCCACCAGCTCCAAAGTCTCCAGGAAGGAGCAGAGGTCCAGAGGACAATGCAAAAGCCATTTCTACTTTGATTTGGAATGCAAGTAAGTGAGTCCATTAGAAATGGCTTCTGATGTTGTTGTTGTTGTTGTTTTTTTTGAGACAGAGTTTCGCTCTTGTTACCTAGGCTGGAGTGCAATGGTGCAATCTCGGCTCACCGCAACCTCCGCCTCCTTGGTTCAAGCAATTCTCCTGCCTCAGCCTCCTGAGTAGCTGGGATTACAGGCGCACGCCACCATGCCCAGCTAATTTTTGCATTTTTAGTAGAGACGGGGTTTCACCATGTTGACCAGGATGGTCTCCATCTCTTGACCTCGTGATCCACCCGCCTCGGCCTCCCAAAGTGCTGGGATTACAGGCGTGAGCCACCGTGCCCGGCCAGTGGCTTCTGATGTTTAGTGAGCTTGCAGCATTCCATGCAAATAGGATTGCTGTTATGTACAGCAGACATGCCTCATGCCTCTGACCCCTCACCTGCATAACCACGTGAAGCTCATTCACTCAAACAATATAGAGGCCCAGCTCTGTGCCTGGTTCTATTGCTGGGAACTGGTGACAACTGTGACTAAGACAAACAATGCCTTTACACTCAAGGAATTTACCATCAAGTCAGGGTAAGTAAACAGGCAGTTATAGTGCAATGTGAGAGATACAGTTTGGTTGTGTTCCTACCCAAATCTCATCTTGAATTGTAGTTCCCATAATCCCCGTGGGGCTTTTTCTTCTTTGCTCAGCACTTCTCCTTCCTGCCGCCATGTGAAGAAGGATGTGTTTGCCTCCCCTTCTGCCATGATTCAGACCCGAGGAAAAGAAGGACAGAGTTCCAGGCAGAGGGAACGGAATGTGCAAAGGCCTGGAGTGAAGGGAATTCAGCCTCACTACTGAGTCCTGCAAGGGAGACCCGGGCCAGTGGAAAAGGGGGACTGAGACAAGAAGAGGCAGGACAGTTACAGCAGAGACCAGGTCATGAAGGGTCTTGTGGGTCAAGTGAGCAAGTTTGCAATTTTTTTTTCTTTTTTTTAGAAATAAAGATGGGGTTTCACCATGTTGGTCAGGCTGGTCTTGAATTCCCAACCTCAGGTGATCAGCCCACCTTGGCCTCCAAAGTGTTTGGATTACAGGCGTGAGCCATCACACCCGGCCACGCCTGCACTTTAGATTGAGGACGGTGTGGAGTCAGTGCAAAGTTTGAAGGGGAATAATAATTTTTATTATGTATTTATTATATTTGTGTTTATTATTTTACATATTATTAAAAATAATAAATTTTAAGAATTGCAGTTCTCTGACTGCGGCATAGAAAATGCTGTGACAAGAAGCATAGATCAGTATGCTCAGTAAGGGGCTGCCGTAGTGACCCAGGCAGGAGATGGAAACAGAATGATCAGTAAGGGGCTGCCGTAGTGACCCAGGCAGGAGACGCTGGGGGCCCCACAGTGGGGCTGGAGCAGGAAGAGCTATCCAGAGGGCAGAGCAAGCAAACCTGCTGTTGAATTGGATGTGGAGAGTGAGGGAGAGGAGAGAGCAAGGGAGGACTCCCAACTGGAGTGATTTGAGTTGACTGAGCCTGAAGACACCATACCTAAGACAACCAATACATCTTTACTGAATGAAAAAAATTAAGGCCAGGCTGTAAACAAGGTGCAAGGACACAATCTGTAGGAGGAGGATAGGGCTGACTATAATTCTTTTAAGGAACTCTCAGCCGGGCACGGTGGCTCATGCCTGTAATCCCAGCACTTTGGGAGGCCGAGGCAGGTGGATCATTCAGGAGTTCAAGACCATCCTGGCCAGCATGGTGAAACTGCATCTCTACTAAAAATACATAAAATTAGCCAGGCATGATGTCACAGGCCTGTAATCCCAGCTATTCAGGAGGCTGAGGCAGGAGAACTGCTTGAACCCGGGAGGCAGAGGTTGCAGTGAACCGAGATCACGACACTGCACTCCAGCCTGGCAACAAGAGCAAAACTCCGTCTCAAAAAAGAACTCTCTCAGTGACCTCAAGCCTCAGTCAACTCAAGTGCAGCTAGAGGGATGGGCCTTACCCATCCAGCCTGCTGTCCAAGAGACTTTGAGCTTTGGAGACACTGCCCTGGGTGAAGGATTACTCCTCTGTGGCCCCACCCAGGCCCTCTACAATCTCCCCCCGCCCCAGCTCTCCTTCTTCCCTGCCGTAGGTCCCCATCTCGGCGTTTCATGCACTGTAGAGAGTGAGGGTTACCAGTGTTAGATCCTGCAGGCTGGCAAACCATTCCCCACGGAAATGTTTCTGTAAATCCTTCAGGATAGTCTCTGTCTTCTGTTTCTCACCTACAATCCAAAAACAACAATTAAAGGGCAGGGCCTTAACAGGGAAAAAGGAACACACCCTTCTTTATTTTCCCTCCAAACCTCAGAGAAGATCAACAGAGTGAAATGGGTGAAGTAACATTTGCTCAACAGAATGGGGAGAGTTCCCCAGCACCAGGCCAATGGGTGGAGGGAGAATGTGGTTGGGGACTCAGTCTGATCCGTGCGGCTGTCCCTGTGCCGTGCCAGAATATGGACTGTTCTACCTACGGGTGCTGAGCAAATGCCCTCATGAGAAGTATGCCCTATGGAACCATGAGAAATCAGAGTTTCTGAAACTCCTTTTAGGGATATTTGCAAATCCTCCTGGCACCTCTGTAAGCATGTATGGCTATTTGTATTTTTTGTTTTCCTCGAGCAAAGATGGACTCAATTTGTTCCCTAAGAAAATATGTTCATTTTCTCAGTCTTAGGCCTAGCAGTAAGGCTGGGACTACTGGAAAATACTGAATGTCCAAGTTGATTCCACAGGTGGCTGCAAGCCTTGCTCCCCTTTTCCCCAACAATCTCATACAAGAGGGCATTGCATCAGCAAAGGGGGTGTAGCTCATCCAGACAGTTTCCAGATCTACTTGTAACAGGGCTCCCTCATCTTGGGGCATCTTAGCATATTTACTCCAGCACCTTCGTGAGAAGGAACTGCCCTTTATCATGTGCCAGACACAATGCGAGCATTCAGTGAATAGTGCATATATGCTTTTGCTATTCATGGGTCCCCATGGCTGCAGCCCAATGGCCACCCAGGCTCATAGTGCTTACTTCTCTGAAGCACAAGGAGTTTGAGCAGGTAATGCAATGCCTCTGATGCCTCTATGCTGATCTGGTAGTTGCAGCCCATGCAGAAGAGGCCCAAGATGCTCATCAGTTTCCCACTCATCGCGAATTCCTCCATGTGCTACCCGGAAGAGGAAACTGGTTAACTCCCCACCATCCCAAAAGGGGCTTCCCCACACTGTGGCCACCACCCCTGTCCAACTTCTCCGCCCTTCCACACCGCTAGATCATTTTCCTGCATGCATCGCCTCACCTCACCAGCTACACACTCTTTCCCTGGCCAAGAAAAACCTTTCAAAGCAGCACCCAGGGAAATGGGGCAGCCAGATCCCTGAAACATGTAGCCAAAGGGAAGCCGTGGACCCAACCCAGCTGTTTAGACCCAGGTTCCCCAACAAGGCTGAAATGTGCCCAGCCAATTGGAACTCATATGCCATAGGAACAGAAAAGGCACTAATGCAAAAAAAAAGGGGGGGGACACTCTGACCATCCACCCTCCCCTCTGTGGAGCCATAGGCTCTCAGGTACCCCATGTGCAGAGAAGCAGGGCCCGCTGGGTCAGCCTTTTCCCCCACTCCAAGCACTCACTGACAGTTCAGGGAAATTGCAAATAAACCTCAGCAGCCGGGAAATAGTGCCCAAGGCCCGCGTCTGTTCATGTACTTTGTCTGACAGTAATGACCAAGGTAAGATGATCTGGAAAAGAAGCAAAGAGACCTTTTGACAGTTTCTGTGGGAGTGCCGCTCCCTTCCTTCTCTTGGTTCCACATTCCTGACTGTCAGAAAGACAAAAAGGAGGAAGTCATGGCAGGCTCCAGAGCGCAGAGCCCCATGAACTTGGCAAAGCAAAGGTGTGTTTAAGAGTCTTCGGGGCTGGCCAGGCACAGTGGCTCATGCCTGTAATCCCAGCACTTTGGGAGGCTGAGGCAGGCGGATCACCCAAGGTCAGGAGTTCAAGATCAGCCTGACCAACATGGAGAAACCCTATCTCTACTAAAAATACAAAATTAGCTGGGTGTGGTGGCACATGCCTGTAGTCCCACCTACTCAGGAGGCTGAGGCAGGAGAATCGCTTGAGCCCAGGAGGCAGAGGTTGTGGTGAGCCGAGATCATGCCGTGGCACTCCAGCCTGGGCAACAAGAGTGAAACTCTATCTCAACAAAAAAGTCTCTGGGGCTTCACCTGCTACCTTCTGGGTCTCTTCTGACAGACAGTGTAGACAAGCAGGAATGGGATAAGGTGGGGAGACAGGGCTCTCTTGACAGTGTGTCCATACAGACCCCTACCTGCTAGGCCAGAGGAAGGGGTAAAGTGGTCTCTGAAGGATGAGATTCAGAGCCATTCCTTTCTGGAGGTTAATAATAATCGTGACACAGGTGAGTATTCTGAATAGAATAATTCACTCTATCCTCCCAGAAACCCTGTAAGCATTATATTACTACACCAGGTTGAGATCCCACCAGGTAAGAGAGGCCTGTGCCCTGCTTGCTGTAAACTTTTGGAAAAGTGTGTCCTGTATCATAGCTGCTGGACAGGTGCCCTTCAGGGTAGTCTTTCTCCCAAGGCATTGAATCCCATCATGGACAGCCATGTGCCAAAAAAAGAAAAATAAACCGTTAGAAAAATACCTAACCATCCAATACAAAAGTTAATTCAGAATTGACCACAGACTTAAAATCTAAAATGATGAGACTCTAGAAGAAAATGAGAAAATACTTAAGGAAGGCAAGAATTCCTACATGAAACAAAGAAAGTATAACTATAAAAATAATAATAATTTGGACTTTATCAAAATGAATAACTACCTGCTCTTCAAAAGATACTGTTAAGAGTGGCCAGGGCCAGGTGTGGTGGCTCACACCTGTAATCCCAGCACTTTGGGAGGCTACGGCGAGTGGGTCACCCGAAGTTAGGAGTTCAACATGTTGTGGGCTTTCAGTGAATGTCTGATCAGAATGGTGAAGCCCTGTCTCTACTAAAAATACAAGAATTAGCCGGGTATGATGGCATGCGCCTATAATCCCAGCTACTTGGGAGGCTGAGGCAGGAGAATTGCTTGAGCCCAAGAGCTCAAGACCAGCATGGGCAACATAGGGAGACCCTATCTCTACATAATTTATTTTTTTGAGAGGAAGTCTCTCTCTGTTGCCCAGGCTGGAGTGCAGTGGTGTGATCTTGGCTCACTGCAACCCTCTTCTCCCAGGTTCAAGAGATTTTCCTGCCTCAGCCATCCCAGTAGCTGAGATTACAGGCACATGGCACCATGCCTGGCTAATTTTTATATTTTTAGTAGAAATGGGGTTTTGCCACTTGGCCAGGCTGGTTTTGAACTCCTGACCTCAAGTGATCCGTCGCTTCAGCATCTCAAAGTGGTAGGATTACAGGAGTGAGCCACTGTGCCTGGCCCATAAAATTCAAATCTTAGTGGAGCATGATGGCACACACCTATGGTCCTAGCTACTCAGGAGGCTGAGGTGGGAAGGTCTCTCAGGGAGGTTTGAGGTTGCAGTGATCAGTGATGGTGTCACTGCTCTCCAGCCTGGGCAACAGAGTAAGACCCTATCTCAAATAAAATAAAATAAAGAGCTCTCAAATCCCCAAATAAGAAAATAACCTTTAAAAAAAAGGGTAGCCTGGGTGTGTTAGCTCATGCCTGTAATCCCAGCACTTTGGGAGGCTGAGGCCAACGGATCACCTGAGGTTGGGAGTTTGAGACTAGCCTGACCAACATGGAGAAACCCTGTCTCTACTAAAAAAATTGCAAAATTAGCCGGGCATGGTGGTGGGTGCCTGTAATCCCAGATATAGGGAGGCCGAGGCAGGAGAATCGCTTGAACCTGGGAGGCAGAGGTTACGGTGAGCGGAGATCTTGCCATTGTACTCCAGCCTGGGTAACAAGAGCAAAACTCCATCTCAAAACAAAACAAAAAAAATGGGCTAAAGATTTAAACAGACACTTCATCAAAGCAGACATGTAGATGGCTGGCAAATAAGTCTATGAAAAGGTACACAACATAAGTCACTAGGAAATGCAAGTTAAAACCACAGATATCACTGCACATCTGTAAGAATGACTACAAGGAAACCCTAACAATACCACATGCTGGCAGGGATGCAGAGCAACTGGAACTCTTACACATTGCTAGTGGGAGTGGAAATGGTATGGCCACTTGGGAAAACACTTTGGAAGTATCTTTTTTTTTTTTTTTGTGGAGTTTTGTTCTTGTTGCCCAGGCTAAAGTGTAATGGCGTGATCTCGGCTCACCACAACCTCTGCCTTCCAGGTTCAAGCACTTCTCCCACCTCAGCCTCCCGAGTAGCTGGGATTACAGGCACACGCCACCATGCCCAGCTAATTTTGTATTTTCAGTTGAGACAGGGTTTCTCCATGTTGTTCATGCTGGTCTCAAACTCCCAACCTCAGGTGATCTGCCCACCTTGGCCTCCCAAACTGCTGGGATTACAGGAGTGAGCCACCATGCCCAGCCTGGAGGAAGAATCTTATAAAGTCAAATGTTCACATGCCATACAACATAGCAGTCTCACTCCGAGAGATTTACCCAAGGGTAATAAAAACCTAGGTTCATGTAAAATCCTGTACACAAAGATTTATAGCAGCTTTATTTGTAATGGTCCCAATCAGGAAACAACCCAAAAGTTCCACAACTGGAAAATGAATGTACAAACTGTGATCTTTCTACTCAATTAAAAAATAAAGAGAAACGAAGTACTGACATGCGTAGCAACGTGAACAAATCTCAAATTCATTATGCTAAATGAAAGAAGACAGACTCAAGAGACCGTCTACTGGATAACTCCATTTAGATGGCTTTCTTTTTTAAATTTGAGACAAGGTCTCCCTCTGTTGCCCTGGCTGGAGTACAGTGGCATGATCACAGCTCACTGTAGCCTCGACCTCCTTGGCTCAGGTGATCCTCCCACCTCAGCTTCCCAAGCAGCTGGGGCCACAGGCACACAACACCATGCCCAGATAACTTTTTTATTATTTGTAGAGATGGAGTCTGTGTTACCCAGTCTGGTCTTGATCTCCTGGGCTCAAGCGATCCTACCAAAGTGCTGGAATTACAGGCATGAGCCACTGTACCCAGCCTTAGATAACATTTTAATTATTTTGTTTATTTATTTTTGAGACAGGGTCTAGCCTTGTTGCCCAGGCTGGTGTGCAGTAGCACAATCACAGCTCACTGCAGCCTCAACATCCAGGCCTCAGGTGATCCCCTACCTCAGCCTCCCAAGTAGCTGAGACAACAGGTGCACACCACCATGCCCAGCTAATATGTATTTTTTTATTTTTAGTAGAGGTGGGGTTTCATATGTTGCCCAGGCTGGTCTCAAACTCCTGGGATTAGATGATCCCCCTACCTCACCCTCCCAAAGTGCTGGGACCATAGGCATAAACCACTGTACCTAGATGATATAGGGACAGGAAACCAATCAGCCATTGCCAGGGGTGGGGAATGGGGAAGGGGCTGAAAGAGTCATGGGGGAATTTGGGGGGTGATAGAACTGCTCTATAGCTTCATTGTGTCTATAGTTACAGGACTGCATGCATTTCTCAAAACCCACAGATCTACACACTAAAAGCTGAATTATACCATATGGAAATTATACCTTAATTTAAAAATGGAAAACAAAGCCAGGTGCGGTGGCTCACACCTGTAATTCCAGCACTTTGGGAGGCCAAGGCGGGCGGATCACAAGGTCAGGAGATTGAGACCAGCCTTGCCAACATGGTGAAATCCCGTGTCTACTAAAAAAAAACAAAAATTAGCTGGGCGTGGTGTTGCACACCTGTAATCCCAGCTACTCAGAAGGCTGAGGCAGGAGAATCACTTCAGGCAGGAGAATCACTTGAACCCAGGAGGCAGAGGTTGCAGTGAGCCAAGATCACACTACTGCACTCTAGCCTAGCAACAGAGCAAGACTCCATCCCTCCCCGCCAAAAAAGGAAAAAGAAAAGAAGACAAAAGAAAAGGAAGGCCCTTAAGAAAACATATAGCCCTCAAATTTGACCTTTCTGATCCAGCTATGCAAAGTCAAATGTGAAATAAATGATGTCGTATTATGCTATCATGTCATCCTTTAGGAAAAAACATGTCTAAAATATACACACTTGACTGAGAATTATCTCAAGACAGCAAACATAATTTTTTTTCTTTTGAGACAGAATCTCGCTCTGTCGCCCAGGCTGGAGTGCAATGGCATGATCTCAGCTCACTGCAATCTCTGCCTCCTGTGTTCAAGCGATTCAGCCTCCTGAGTAACTGGGATTACAGCTGCCCGCCACCACACCTGGCTAACTTTTGTATTTTTAGTAGAGATGGGGTTTCACCATATGGCCAGGCTGGTCTCAAACTCTTGACCTTGTGATCTCCCTGCCTCAGCCTCCCAAAGCACCAGGATTACGGGTGTGAGCCACCACATCCAGAGCAAATATAATTTTATTACACATAAAAATAACTTGTTTTTACACTTTGTATTTCATTTATCAAGATAAATTGATTTCTCCTACAAAAGGTGGGAACCTGTTTCAGGTGGTACTTTTGCAGGGCACCATTTATCTTTGGATAATGAGAACCTTAGTAATGGATCTCTTAAAGACTCCACCCTGACCAGGACCAAAGTTTTGCATCTCTGTTCCTCAAAGACTCCAAGAACAACAGAAGGGTCAGGCACGGTGGCTCAAACCTGCAATCCCAGCACTTTGGGAGGCCGAGGCCGGTGGATCACGAGGTCAAGAGATTACGACCTTCCTGGTCAACATAGTGAAACCCCGTCTTTACTAAAAATACAAAAAATTAGCTGGGCATGGTGGTGTGTGCCTGTAATCCCAGCTACTCAGAAGGCTGAGGCAGGAGAATTGCCTGAACCCAGGAGGCGGAGGTTGCGGTGAGCCGAGATCGCGCCATTACACTCCAGCCTGGGTAATAAGAGTGAAACTCCATCTCAAAAAAAAAAAGAACAACAGAAGAGCATTTGTTCTTACATTTATAGCGAGGTTGACTAAAAAGCACAAAAATCCTTCTCAACAAACATACCAGGGATGGCACATTCCAAAAGAACTGTGTCACGCATCCAAATGTGGACAAATTTCCTTCTAGCCGAAGCCCTTGTCAAGGTCTTTTTATAAGGTGCCTGGGCAGTCTTGTCTCCTTATTTGCAGTCATATCCAATGTTTTATGCAAAATTATATTACCCTAATTGATTACCATCCTGTTCATGAAAGTCGGTTTCAAGTGACTCTTGGCTGTTTCCCCAACTCAAACTACTCTCAGGGGATAACTATTGTAACTAAGAATATCTGAAATGCTTTAAAGCTCTACAGACTGTTAAGGAAGTACAACGAGTCTCTGGTGAGGATGACATTAAGGGCTATAACAGCAGCCTGGATGGAGAAGCACTGAGATCTTTATCACAGAGCAATGGCAGACTCTGCCACAGGGGAAAGTACTTTGAAGATTAAAGTGTGACATGGATATAAATGTTGTTATCACTGAAGCCCCAGTATGTCCAAGTTCTGGGGGGAAATGGGTCCTCAGCTTAATTGGTTGGGCTTCCAAAGTGGGATCCTCAAAACGATATGTTATGGGAGACACAAAACTTTGTCTTCAAGTGATGCTTATGCATGCTGAGGCTTGAGAACCAGTGGTCTTTGGACTAGAGTGACACCCAGGCTATCCTGACCTTCTTCTCCTTTCCTCCCAAACATGCTGGAATTAACATGGAGTTTCCGTTTCCCTGATCACTTTTCCAGTTTTCAGTTTCCACGGGCACTTACCTCCAGGAAGTTTTGCAGTATGAGCATGTTAGGCCTCATGTCGTCCATCACAAGAGCCTGCAACATATCATCTAAGGCCTGGACCGTCTGACAAGTGAAGAGACAGGAGCGTCTAGAACGGACTACCACAGTGCCAGCTCGGCTCCCTGGGGGCACTCCCCCATCTCCTTATCCCCTACCTCAGGAGGAAGAAATAGGGCTAGCCTGGCTCTGCCTCCCCCCACATTCCCTCTCATGGCCAGCCACACTCTGATCTTCCTTGGTGCTGACCTTTCTTGGCCTCAATGAAGACTGGACCAGGCCCAGTGGTAAAATGCAGGCACTGGGCCATTTTCCCCAGGAAAGCCAGACCCCGTGGGACTCTCCCCATTACAGTCATTCTGTTGGGTTGAGGAAACGTCTATTTTTAAAACTACAAAGGCTGAGGTGGGAGGATAGCTTGAGCCCCAGAGGCTGAGGCTGCAGTGAGCTATGATTGCACCACTGTACTCCAGCCTGCGCAACAGAGTGAGACGTTGTCTCAAAATTTAAAAATTAAAAATAGAATAAAGAAAACTATAGGTCCCTGGGAAGATTTGGCAGTCTACTGGTCAGTTGCTCCACAGTATCTGTGGGTTTTATTATTAGACTGTCTCCCACAGCTGAAGCTGCTGTGAGCCTTAGTGAGCAAGGACAGGGCTAGGGCAGGAGCATGGGCCAGATCCCCCAGAAAGACAGGCGAGGGTAAGACAGCTGGAGCGCCTCTTAGCAGCCTGAGGGCCATGGGTCAAGGGCTCTGCAGAGAGTTCAGAGCAGGAGGAGGGCAGGGGAGTTAAGAGACAGGAGGTGACTCCAAAGACAAACCCTCCCAGTGGAGCTCTCCATGAAAAGGTGGGAATTACCTGGAGGTAGAGACTTGCGTTGTCTCTTTGGCACAGACTGGGCAGGATGAGGGGCAGAGAGAACATGCTGGAGATGCCCACATTTACCAGGTCCAGTTTCTGGGACAAGTGGAATGGTGGATTCACCTGGCTGCAGGGAGAGACGGGGAATGACAAGAGGCTTCAGGAGTCCCTGGGAGAGCCTGGGTTATGTTGCTGGGACCCTCTGGGAGAATGTGCTCTGCTGCTTTCTCTGAGGTGCAGGAAACAGTGGGGACCTGAGCCCCCAAACACTTCCCAATGGCCTGTCCTCCGGGGGAGGACATTTCCTCACTGAATGTCCTAATACACTCCCAAAAGTACAGTTGAAAAATACAGCCCCTCCACCCCAGGATGCAGGCAGATAAAGTGGCAGCCATCGGGGCTCTGCCACCCACAAGCCAAAAGTTAAGTCCCCAAACCTTGCCCTTCCTCCCAACCCAAAAGTTCTCAGCACCAGAGACCTAGGGGCTCTGAAAGGGTAAGAGCAAGAAAGGCACCTCAGCGCCACGATGCAGAGCATGGCTTGCTGACGCACGCTGCCCATCAGATTCTCAGTGGATTCTTCAAGAATTAGTACCTAGAAAGGCCAGGAAAGAAAACAAAAACAAAAACCGAGAACCCCCTTCAGAGAGAGATGCCAGTCCTCAGGTCCGGGACTTGTCATCCTCATCCCTGAATGACCATCTCCCAGCAGAGCTTGGGTGTTTCTTACCTCAATTTTCTTGGCCAGGATGGTTTTGGGGTAGTAATCGTCCATATTACCATCTGCCTGGGCATGCACAGCACAACTCAAGATTTCCACAGCCCTCAGGAACTTCAGCTTGGTGAACTCGGACTAGGACACAATACACAGACTACTGCCCATAAGCTGGGCCTCAGCCCTTAGTTCCACCCATGGGCAGCACCTGAGACCTGCACCCCGCCCCTGCCCCTCACTCCCAGCCCAGATTCTGATCAACTAGGCCGAAGGATGGATTGCTCACTCGATTTTCTCAGCACAATGTCCTTGTCCCCAGGACTGCTGCTCATCCATGTCTGGCCACTTATGTAGGGCTCTGGGGGACAGTGGGGATAGGGATCTCTGATGAAGATCCTTCCTACAGGTGGGGAACTGCAAGATCTGAGCCCCAGACACCCCGTCCAGTGGACTAGCTACCTAAGATCTACCTGGTCAGGAAGCAACAATGGGCTGTGTATCTGGTGGCTTCCAAGCCAGGGCTAGTACCCAAAACCCAACGAGGCATAAGCCCTCTTTTTTTTTTTTTTTTTCTACTTTCCTCCTCAGTTCACAAAAAGGATCAGAGAACTTTCTTACCATATGTTCTTCTTCTAGAAATTTCACTATGAACTCATAGGCTTCTCTTTCTGATTGGCGCAATCCTGAAAAGGGATGTAGTTGAGGAGTTTGGCTGATTCCACCAGATGGAACAGGGAGGCAGAGCCATCCTCTGCCCTCCCTTCCTGTCTGTCCACCAAGAGGGCTCAGAAGCTACCAGGGTTCCCAGAACCGACTTCTCTAGGCCAATGGAAGCCAAAGTGGAAAGGACATCATGTGGGGACTTAGTTAAGATATTTTCTGAATCAGGCATGGCCGGGGATGGAAGAACAATTGGGAGGAGAGAGACCTTTAAGTCACTCCCAGTGACCACAGATCTCTAGGGCTGTCCTGGACTGCCTTTGAAAGTTTTGGTTGTGAATGGACTTGAAACCCCAAGTCAGCCCAGGAAGCTTCTGTGCCAACTGGACCAGCACAGCCTTCAGGCATGCCTCCCTGAGCCTGACGGTTGAGGCCAGGAATAGAGCCTGTTCACCAAAGTGGAGTCGGGAGGAGGTAAAGCAAGAGGAAGGAGCTGGTGACACCACTGGGCTCCAAAGCGACATGGGCCACCGGCCTGAGTTCGAGTTGCTGCTTCCCTCTCACATTACCCTGCAAGCAAAGACCCTCGCAGTAGGACTTGGAGCCAAAGAACGGAGCTACACACAATGGCTCTGGCACCAAACCACATGGGTTCAAAACTCAGCTCCTCTGCTTTATTGCCTCTGTGATCTTAGGCAAATTAAACTCTGTCAACTTTACTTTCCCCATCTGTATGACATGGAAGATGATAGTATCTGTTATTGTTTGAGGATTAAATGAACAATGAGTCTTTTTTTTTTTTTTTAGAAGGAGTCTCCCTCTGTCGCCAGGCTGGAGTGGAATGCAGTGGTGCGATCTTGGCTTACTGCAACTTCTGCCTCCTGGGTTCAAGTGATTCTCCTGCCTCAGCTCCCAAGTAGCTGGTACTACAGGTGCGCACCATCACGCCCAGCTGATTTTTGTATTTTTAGTAGAGACGGGCTTTCCCCATGTTGGCCAGGATGGTCTCGATCTCTCGACCTTGTGATCTGCCTGCCTTGGCTTCCCAAAGTGCTGGGATTACAGGCGTGAGCCATCGTGCCCAAACAACGAGTCTTAATACATATAAGAAGTGATCTTGAGCAAATTAAATTCCCCCAAGCTTCAGTTCTGATATCTTAACCTGGGGATCATCACAGTATCTATTATTGTTGTGAATTTAAATGAATTAGTATGTGAAAAAATGTTAGAATACTTCCCAGCATATAATAGGAAATCAGTAAGTGCATTCCTCATCATACATTTATTGAGCGCCTACTGTGTAAAAGGACTCTTCTAGGCATATCAGTGAAAAAAGAGACAATAATCTTTGCTGTCACAGAGCTTCTTACACACCAGGGAGTTCCTTCACAGGAACTACCCTTCGGTTTTTTTTTTCCCCCTTAGAGCTCAAATACTGGGAAAACTACCCTTCTTTGTTTTGTGTTTACCCATATAGGTTTGTATATGTACATACACAGAAGTCATTGAATCTGAGTGGGCTTGAAGGACATGAATGGCAAGCCATTTATATATCTGGTGAGAGAGCATTCTAAGCCACGGCAACAGCAAATATGAAGGCCCAGAAGCCGGATCGTGCCTAGCAAGCTCGAGGAACAGCAAGAAAGACAGGATGCCTGGAGCGGGAGGAGCAGGGAAGAGAGGTGGGAGGTGAAGGTAGAGCAGTAATGGGCAGATCAGGAGGGACTCATTGTAAAGATGATTGGTTTTGGGGATGGGAGCCCTGGGCAGGTTTTGAATAAAAGTGGTCTGACTTTGAATAACAACAGCACTGTAGCTGTTGAGTTGAGAATAGATCAGGAGCAGAGGTGGAGAATGGCACGGGGTGTAGGCAGAAGCAATATACCAGCAGGGAGATTGTGACAATAAACCAGAGGCGAGACGACAGTGGTTCACACCAAGGGAAGTGGTTAGAAGCAAATGGTCAGATTCTGTATCCATGTTGAAGGTAGAACCAACAGGAATAGCTGATGGGCCAGATGTGAGTATGAGAGAGAGAAGTCAAGAATCTCAGCCTTGAGACACTGGAAGGATTGAGTTGCCATTAATTGGTATGGGGAACAGAACATATTTGGGGTTGGGAGTAAAGTTAAGAGGAGGTGTTGCTCAGTCTCAGACAATGTCTTGTTCCTGGTCCAGCTCCAGGCTTCTCAAGGAGGCAAGCCTGAAAAAGGACAGGCATGCAGAGTCTAGAGCTGTGACGGGATAGCCAGAAGTGGGCAGATGTGTGCCCATTAAGTATACCTCAAGTGAGGGTGTGGGCAATCACCACCACTTCTGAGCACCTGCAGTTAATTGAGAAACAGGACCAACTGCTCACCTGCTAAGTTGGACTTCCGAGAGACTTGTGATGTTGATGGATCAAAGATTACTCTGCTTGGTTTTTGCTTGTTAGAACTCGGATTCATCTGTGTGCTTGGGGCAGGAGACTGCGGCTTGTGACAAGAATGGTGGGCAGGCCAGGCACAAGACAGTCCTTCCTAGGGATGCAGCCTCTCCAGGGGCAAGCTGCCCGAGGCAGATCCTGCCCATTTACCACGAAAGGAATTGGCTGAGCAGGGCCAATGCCGGGTCCCAGGGTCAGCTTCTCATTTCTTCCCCATGGGAAGATTCAGGACCCTCTGAAGGGTCCTGGGCTCTGGGCAGTCCAAGCTCCAGGAATGGCTTGGAGGCACTTATCCACCCATCTCCACCCTCTGCCTGGCTAGTCCCCTGTCCTTCTTGGTGAAGTGACTCCGGACTTGCCTAGGAGTCTTCCATCCTGGGATCTCCCTGTATAGGGAATCTCAGACCCACAGGCGAGCTCCCAGGTCACAGTGGCCTTTCAAGTCCCTCTTCCTCCAGGCCAAATTGCCTTTGGGAGTCTTGCTGCTAAAGCCCTGAAGCACCCTCTTCCCAGAGGCCTCTGTCCCCACTCCCTAATTCATAACCTCACTTCTGCCCTATGGTAGGGGAGCTAAGAGCCCCCACATGTCTGCCCCTCCCAGACATGGCCCAAGGAAGCCTGCTCGTGGACCAGGAAGAAACTGCAGGCAACCTGGTTCTCTCACTGCCTGCATTTCGGGTCCCCAAACAGCGCGTCCCATGGCTCACTGCCTTAAAGGGCCTTGCTCTGTCCCTGTGTCCATCTCTTTGTATTCCCGCTCTTAGCTGGTCTCTGTCGGTCCTATCGCTGGGAGCTGACCCTCAGACAGGTCATTCCCTGGGAACTTGCCCACACTGTCAGGTTTCCCTGGGCCTAACTCACCATCATCTAAAATACAGAATCCAGCGGCCGATTCCCCACAAGCCATAGGTGGAAGGGCTCAGGTCTGAGATCAGGATGCCCCACAACTTCTCCAGAGACCCTGGAGCCGCCTCTCTTCCCCACCTGCCTTCCCCAAGAACGGAGCGCCCCAGGCCCCAGAGACCCCGGATCCCCGCGGCCCCCAGGGCTGCACCGGCAGGGCTGGAGGCGCCCCTTCTGCAGCCAGGGCCCGGGCCCTCCGTGCCCTGCCCCGCCCTTTCCTTGGTCCCCCTCGGGCAGGGGACCCCCTTTACCTGACAAGCCGGCGCCTCAGGTCCGGGCACAGCCTCTCTAGGGGGAGCTGTGCTCTGAGGCCCTGGAGCGGCCCCTGCAGGGCAGGCATGGAAGGGTCCAAGGTGGCGCTCCGTACGCGGCTGCAGTGAGATGGGGGAGGGGCCTGTGGAGAGCCCCGCCTCCCCACCACCCCAAGGAGGGGCCTCAGTCTTCCAGGTTTGGAGAAGGGGCTGTTTCTCATGAGCCTGGGCTCTGGGCAGTCCAAGCTCCAGAAATGGCTGGGAGGCACTTATCCACCCATCTCTACCCTCTGCCTGGCTAGTCCCCTGTCCTTCTTGGTGAAGTGACTACCAGAGGCCAACTCCTCAGGCTGAAGAGGAGGCCGTCAGGAGCTTTGACAGGGTTTGTGCTGGCTTCCACCCTGCCCTGGAAGCAGAGAATCTGAGAGCCTCCTTCTACAACCCCAGCCATGACACCAGCTTCCCAGGGACCTGGCCAGACCAGCTGGAGGGACCAGGGAACTCGGCCACCTTGGCAGGCAGCCCAAGGGTTTGGGCTCAGCCTCTGCTCAAGAAACTTGGCACACAACACCCACCACCCCCCCGCCCCCGCCACACACACACACACACACACACACAAAATCCCTCATCCTCAACTCAGCCAATCACAACAGACTTTATTGAAGTATTTGGCACTAACCCCCACACAGTTGCAGCCCTGTAGCTGAGGACACAGCCACTTGGCAACGGCACCAGGACCAATAAGTTAATGTAAAGGACGCTCTTTATGGGGGCCCATGGCTCAGCAGTCTCCTGGCTCAGACCAAGGAGCTCTGGGCTGTGGTGAGGATGCTGAGGGGCCAGGGAAACCATCATGCTCTGGGGAAAGGGGCTTAGAGACAAGCCTGAAGAGCACAGCATCCAAGCAGGGCATTCACACACGTTTGGGGACAGGGTTGGCCCAAAAGGGGTGGGGCTGCTGATGTGGTAAGAGCACAGGGAGAGAAATGCCAGGTGCATCCCTTCAGCCTCCCGCATCCTCCCCCAGGTTCCTTGATGAGCCATCCTGGGTCTTCCCTCGGCACCCTGTGCACTCGGCTACACTGTTTTCTTTCCAGTAGGGAGAACTGTGCCTCTTCTCAGTCAGGCAACAGAGTTCTTGGAGCCTTCTGCTGTATTCACAGTCCATTCCAGTCCAGGTAACATGGGGCAGAGAGTTCTGCACAGGTGAAGTCAGAACTCAGCTCTCCCTACCCCTCCTAGCCTCAACTCAGTTGCTTTCTCATTGAAGCAGGACCCCTGACCTGCAAGCAAAGAAGGCCCTAGGATGAGAACCCAGGGACTGCTGGGTAATCTTAGCACAGGCAGCTTCCTGACTTGCTCCCGTTGCTGCAGCTGGGATAATGAATGAATGCCCTCAAAGAAGATTCAGCATCTCGTCAGTGCTTGGGAGGGAGTATGCCCATGTTTGTATAAATAAGTACCTTCTCAGAGCAGAACCACAGCTGAGGGGGGAGTGGGAACTGTGACCCCCTTCCCCAACATGCCACAAAAGTGGTGCCTTTCCAAAACCACTTGTAAAGAATTGGTGTTTAGGACTATGATGAAAAAATGTTAGAAGGGCCAGGTGCAGTGGCCCACACCTGTAATCTTAGCACTTCGAGAAGCGGAGGTGGGTGGATCCTTTGAGGTGAAGAGTTTGAGATCAGCCTGGCCAAAATGACAAAACCCCATCTCTACTAAAAACACAAAAATTAGCCGGGCCTGGTGGCACGTGACTGTAATCCCAGTTACTCAGAAAGCTGAGACAGGAGGATCTCTTGAACCCCAGAGGCAGAGGTTCCAGTGAGCCAAAATCTTGCCACTGCACTCCAGCCTGGGCCACAGAGTGATACTCCATCTCAAAAACAAACAAAATGTTAGAGGGAGCAGTGAGTGGGGCTGCAAGCCCTTGAGACGCCCAGAGGTGGCTGTCAAAGGATGGCTGCTGTCCACTAACCACCAGTATGGGCCAGTCCCCAGCTGGACCCCCTGAGGCTACAATCTGTGATGCCACCGACTCAAAGCTCAGAAGTCTGGGGACCCACAGGGCATAGACAGGGCATAGTGACTGGGTCCCTAAAGAGGATTTATGGGGTCAGGAAAATAGCACGGTCTACCAAGACAATACACCACCAGGATATACTGATCTTTGACCTCGCACTTGGTGTGCATCACAGAGCACATTAGAAAGGGGAAAGGGATTCTCCCCCAGCCCAGGCCCAGGCACTCACAGACCTGGGACATGGGGGAGAGTCATGTGCATGAGTATGTACCGTATCCAGCCTCCAGCAGTAGTGGGACAGGAGGGCCGGGGCAGTTCTCCAGGGAAGTTCTTAGGACCAGAACACAGAGCTTTGGAGAACTCCCAAGGTGGCCCACTCTGCTTCACGTGTCCCCTGCCACTTGTCTTGCCTAAGGAGACAGATGCTGTCAGTCAGACAGGCAAGACCTTAAGTCCAGTAGGCCAAACTCTGGAGGGTAAAGCATAATCATATCACGGGGATCTTCAGGATGATCACATATATAAATCCTTAGGTCAGGGCTTCTGAAAAAAGTCGTGTAAAAAAAACAAAATAAAAAGTCTCAGCTCCAGGTCATCGGCCTGCGATGGGGGTGGGAGAGCTGAAAGAGGCACTCAGGGGTGGGGGGTCTCAGCCCACCCCCTCCGTGAAAGTCTTTTCCAGCATGGGGCACAGAGTTACACCTGGCTGATGATCTCTCCTTTCTCAGGTACAAAGACTTGCACAGGGGCCCCGTCAGGCGATCTCCGCAGCACACACACTGTGGGCACCTGCCAGGGTCGGGAAGGAGAGGTGGGTAAACGAACCAGGCAGAAAAGCGGGGACAGTAGGCACAGCTACACCATCCTTATCCCTTAGGGACACTGACCAGCAGCAGCAGCAGGCCCTGGCACTCAGCCCCTTCCTCCCCAGGAGGCTCTGTCCTTCAGGGATCCCCCTTTACACATTTTCCTCCAGGTTCCTTTGGGGTGTGACAGGCGCCCTGACCTCCTCCTCCCCACATTTCCTGCACTCACTTCTCATCACCCTGTCTGGCAGGTTGGGATGGGCTGGGTCTATCCAGCCAAGGACAGGCCCAAGCGTGCATGAAGGAAAAAGCACGTCAGCTAGAGGGCGAGGCCTGGGACTGGGGCCAGGGTGTTGCCAGGCCCAGGATGCCAGCTGCAGCCCAGAGTACCGTGGGTGGGGGAGGGACACGCAGCTGGGCCTGCTGGGAACCTGGGGTCTAAAAGAAGCAGCTTGTTGGTAACTTCTGGAGCACGTCCCCTGCAGAGCCCTCCGTACCAGGGAGAAAGAATGAAGAAAGGATTCCTGTGTGTGATTCCCCACTTCCAGAATGAAGAAATAGGGGCCAAGGAAACCAAGGCTGCCACCCTACCCAGTATCAGAGTGCTCTATCCTTTATACTGCCCCCCAGCCTGCTCCCTGGCCTCTGCAGCCCTAGATGATAATAATGTCACATATCTAGTGCTTGCCATGCATTGCTCTAATCATTTCTGCCTCTTGGCAGCCCTGTGAGACAGGTACTCTACTACTTCCATTTCACAGGGGAGGAAAGAGTAAGTCCAGAGGGGTTAAGTAACTTGCCCAGTCATACAGTTCGTAAGTGGCAGAACTGGGATTTGAATCCAGTGGTCTAGCTTGAGGGTCGGTGTTCTTTTTTTTTTTTTTTTTGAGACAGTTTCAAAAAAACTGGCCTTGTTGCCCAGGCTAGAGTTCAGTGGTGTGAGCTTGGCTCACTGCAACCTTCACCTCCCGGGTTCAAGGGATTCTCCTGCCTCAGCCTCCTGAGTAGCTGGGATTACAGGCGCCTGCCACCACGCCCGGCTAATTTTTTTGTATTATAAGTAGAGATGGTGTTTCCCCATGTTGGGCAGGCTGGTCTTGAACTCATGACCACAGGCAATCTGCCCGCCTCAGCCTCCCAAAGTGCTGGGATTACAGATGTGAGCCACCGCGCCCCACCGAGGGTCGGTGCTCTTAACTTTGATGCCACCGTTCTTCTCGGCTTGGTGCTGAGGAGGGGTGTCGGGGAGGATGCTGTTGCACAGGGTCTGGCCTCTGCAACACATTTCCTACTCTCCCTTTGTCCTAGACCTTCAAATGGACATTTAAGGGGCTGATTTGGATTGGATTTTTTATTATGAAGAGGCCTGTCTGCTTTGTGGATCATCATTTAGGGAGGGAAGAAGTCTCAGTATCTTCGGGGATCATCTCCGCCAGTGTATTTACTCTTGAGCTACACATGGCCGGCAAAATTAGGAGGTGCCCCGGGGAAGCCAAGAGGAAATGATTTTTTGGCCTGTTCTTCCTAGCTGGGGATTACCCGGCCACTGGGTTGCTGCTTCGTTACCTCCCTGCCCTTGGACTTGCTAGAATTGAGGCCCCTCCCCAGCAAGACAGCCCTCCTGCCTGGCCCCAGGGTCCCTCCAGAGCAGCCATACCTGTGTCCGGGGTCCCAGGGCTCGCCCGAAGCCCTCTCTCCCCAGGGGCAGGCTCCTGACGCGGAAAGCCCCTTGTCGGTCCAGTGAGTGGGGGCGGGTGCTCCGGAGGCGTGCGCGCTCGTGCCACCACTTGAGCTCCTCGGACACAGCAGCCTTGCTGAGTCCCCGGCCTGCCGGGCTGTCCTTCAGGGAAGGCGTCCGCACGATGCGGCTGCGGGAGGGCACCAGCCGCTGGTAGCGCAGGGGAGCGCCGTCCTCCTCGTAGGCAGGGCCCAGGGCTGCGCGGAAGGGCTCCCACTCGCCAGGCGGCAGGGGGCTCTCAGCCACCACCACGTACCGCCCCGCCGGGAAATAGCCAGGGGGCAGCAGCAGCTTGGGGTGGTAGACCGCCAGCTCTCTGCTGCTAGCCGGGCCCCAGGCCCCGCGGTGACGATGGGTCTTGGGAGGGGAGAGAGGCTGCAGAAAGGAGATGTCAGGGCTGCTGCTGCCAGGCGAGGTGGGGTGGGAGATGCTGGAGACATCAGAGCCACTGTCTTCTGAGCAGGAGTGGCAGGCAGCGTGCGGGGCATGGGGCAGTGGGGGCTTGGTTGGAGGAAAGCAGGAATCTGGCACTGTCACCGTGTAGTGAGTGGGGCGGCGGCGGGGAAAGGCGCTGCGCCCTCGGCCCTCCGGACCCGCCCGGAAGGAATCCACCCTGAAGAGATAAAGAGAGGCATCCTGAGTGTGGGAGGTTGGGGGAGTGGAGTTAAAACAGGTGAGTCCTGCTCTGCCTCAATGCCCAAGCATGGCCCTAATGCAAGGATCTTAGGTCAAACTTCCCAAAGCAAACCAACAATCCCTCTGCTGGGCTGTGTGGGTGCAAGGCACTCCCTCACTGTGTCCAGATGTGTTCCTGATGCATTCACAAGCTTGCAATTTGTATAAAGTGTGCTACATCAAATAGAGCATGAAGCTTTTTTGTGGGGAGGCGGGACGGAGTCTTGCTCTTTCACCAGGTTGGAATGCAGCAGCACTATCTCAGCTCACTGCAGCCTCCACCTCCCGGGTTCAAGCAATTCTCCTGCCTCAGTCTCCCGAGTGCTGGGGCT